TTCACTGACCAGCAGCTGTTTTCACCGACCTTTAGCCAAGCAGTGTTCTTAGTGTTTTGTGTCATGATGCCGATCGTGCTAATGAATTTGACGGTTTGTGCAATTTCCTACTCACTAATATTTTGCATTGTGTTGGACTGGATATTATGTATGTCTGTAAATTCAGATCGAAACCATCACCAGATTGATCAATACGATAAGACCAAATAACTCAATTATCACCCAATCACCATAATCAGTCTGACGATGCATCCGCGCTCCTGTGTGAATTTTTAACATAATAATTTAACATAATTTATATAGCGCTAACTCCACTAATTGACCAAAGCGCCTTACAATTCACAATATTAAAATAATTAAAAAGATCCCACTGGTAATAAAATATGAATAAATTAAAAACCTACTTGCAGACTTATTTATAAAAATGAATAAAGGCTGATAGTTTCGAAAGAAACTGTTTGGGGCTGCGTCGGTGGGAGTAACGAAGGGCTAACGCTCGAAACGTCAGCTTTTGTAATCGTTACGGTGGCCAATTTACCATTTCAACTTTGTTGATATATCCAAATTATTTTATTTATAAAAATATCACAGTAAATCCTATTCCAAATTATCAAAAAAAAAAAAATTTTTTTGTCATGTATGAACGTGACAGATTCTCACTAAGTTACTTTAATGGCTTATTACTGGCATGTTGTTTCACTTCACTCCCTTTCTGTGACAAGATGCCCCGCCTAAAAGCTATTTTTCGTTTTTATTCAAAAGTTCTGTTTGTTCTGGAGAACGATTCATTGGTTCATATGTCGATTCTTTTTCAGATCGGTCTTGCCATTGGTGACATCGATTCAATTCGGCAGAATGCAGAATATAAACGTTTATCTATAAAGGTAAAATACTCTAGTACTTTCAAATACATGATGAAATGGATTTAAATGCTGGAGCAGCCTTTCTGGCTTAATTTCTCGGAAAAAAAAATGCTTAATAGCAGAGGACCAACATCGATTTTCTTATTTCATTCACTTATTAATCAAGCCATTGCTTTCGAAAATTTTAAAGTTATTTGGTTATGGTTCAATTCTTCATTTTTGGTTACAAGGTTTACGAACAACGAGTTGCGACATTAACGTATAGCTTAAGGCTATAGTAGAATACAATGGTAGCTGGCCTGCGTGGATTGCCGTCCCTTTGTGTGCTTTAGAGCGTTTACTGGCGTCGCATGAACGAACTGCAATGTCACAACAAACTTGAGACGCTTTCGCAGCGGCGCCGCCCAAAAAAACGCCAGCTTCGTAGTTTGGAACGGAAAGATATGAAAAGCCCAGAAATCCCAAGCTTGTAAAGATAAGCGCAGTAAATAGACTTTGCAGTTGTTTTCCGTGACGATAACTATTATTGAGTAACGCTTCTTGAAAACCTTGAGTTTCGTATTTCTCCAGATCGAAGTGATCCATGAGTTCATTGAAAAATCACCACTGTGGCTTCTTCATCGTTTACATCAGCCCAAGTCGGTTAAACAACCAAACAAGAAGGCAAAAACTATACTACAGAAAATAAAGGTTGGTTGATAGTCACAAGATGTGTCTTATTGGTTTGTGTTCAAACTGGCATATACTTTGGCTTTTAAGATTTATAAATGACCCTTCCACAGTGTTAAAAGCTCTGCAGGTGCTAAATTAAATTGATTTGCTAAAAACAACAACAACTACATTTAAAATGTGATCTTGTAGCTCAGTTGGTAGTTCTCGGCCAAGCGATACCAGAAAGTGCGGGTTTAAAATCGTGTCAGTGTAACCTGTGAAGTAATAAAATTCGTATCGAGTTAAGCTTTGAAATCAGTTTGTAACTTTTAACCTACCAAAGTTTAAAAGTTTTATTTCCTTTTTTCATTTTTGACATCAAGCCGAAAGTTTAAAGAACTTAATATTAACGTGGATATACATGTATATTATTCGCCGGCGGTCGTAGCGAATTGGTCCTTCCTTGGGCCCTATCATAAACTACATACAAAGAATCTACTCCCATCATTAGTTAGGCTTCTTTTCTGTGACAATCTTCACTAGATACATTCAGGCTTATGAAGACCTCAAACTTTGAATCTATGTTTGCAGATGTTAATGCTTTTTGATTCAGGGTCTAGGGGACAGACTGGTCAGCGGACAAAAACCAAAATACACGGTGGAGGATGCGGAAAGAAATTTGGCTGATCACTTGACAAAGATATTGACATCAAGAATGAGGGAGCAGGATGATAGGTAATGATAATAATAACAACAACAACAACGACAACAATAGAATGACAATAATCGACAACACACTGTGGTACTGGTAACTATATCCGGGACCTTCGGAGTATGTTGACGAGGGCAGAATACATGGCAGTTTTATAGACTTTGTGTCCATTACTTTGTGTTACAATACTACAGCAACTGAACTTAACTTTTCAGGGCTCTGTAAACGTACCTTAACACAGCCAGGGTATCATTAAAGCAGTTTTTCGGTATTTAATTGTTTTTTATCGATATGTTATTAGAGTCTTAAGCACAATAACGCGCGTAAATCAAAACCGAAAATACTTAACTACACAGGACGTTGTCAGTAAGACCAAAACAAAGATACACATCCTTGTTTTGATATCTCACAAACACTTTGACTCTGAAGTTTTTCTCAGCCAAGAAACGTAAAGCCATGTGGATTTCCTCTGAAACATGAAAAAAAACAAAAAAACAAAAAAAAAACAACAAAAAACTGAAGAGCAAAGTCTCACAGATTTAAAGGACCGATGCAACGCTTCACCCCAGCTAATACCTCTGTCAACTAATTTGAAACATGTTAATTTGTTTATTTGTTTTATTTTAGGTTCTGTTTATGGCAATGTGCAATTATTTGTGTGATTTCATATTAAACGTAGTCTCTGCTCTTTATCTCAGAATCAGTGGTATAACCCTGGAAATGAGGGAACAACGGAAACTGCTAGAGTCACTGTTCCAAAGGATGGTCAAGAAGGAAGCACGAAGAACTTTGAGCGACGATTAAAAAAACATATATAACCAACCAACACTCAGACAAACATGGAAGGAAAAGGTTGAGGACTGACAACGCTTTTCTCATAGTGCGAAAGACTGTGCTATAAATGGTGATGAAACTTAAAAGTTTCGTCAATCTTTGACGGTGTGTTGTGTGGCCAAAAAAAAAAAAAAACACAACAGCCTGTCATAATTTTTCCTCTAGGAACCAGCAAATTTCTGAGTGATTTTAATATTTCAGATGGTCACAATGAATCTGCGCTTAACTGATAGTGTCTCTTTCGGTAACTATAACTAAACTGTTTAAATTACTGGAAAAATTATTACTGGAGTATAGGCCGTAAAAAAGAAACAAGAATAAAGAATAATAATTACTACAGTAAAAGGTTTAATGAAGTGCATACTGTTCTGCGAGTCACCAGCAGCCGTGTTCCCTTTATCTTTGATCCATAAAAATTTCCGCATTTCTACAAACGTTTTCTTACACAACCTAAGTTTAAGTTTAAGTTTAATTCATTCGCCACAGATATGGCAGGAGAAAGGAACAGAACTTTCGTTCCAATTGACGCCTAACCCCTTTTTTACCCACCTATCCCACCCCGGGGAGGACATCCATGACACAGTAATCTCGTGCGTGGGAAATTAACGTTTCCTACCCCAACCCTGCAGGAGACGGGACCTCCATTTATTCGTCCCTATCCGAGAAGACTAGAAAATCTAACCATTTGCAGATATTATTTCAAAGGCAGCACTTTCTTCTCAGTTAATTAAAGACCCTGAGTGTGTTGGTCCGGCCGGATTTGAACTCACAACCTCCCGCACAACAGTCCGGCGATCTACCAATTGAGCTAACCGGGAGGTTAGCTCAATTGGTAAATGTTCAGTTCACATTTTCATTTTTGCGGTTTTCGTTCTTCTTCACTTGAAGCATTCAACGCGTGTGTAGCAGTGTTGCTCAAAGAAGCCTTATTTTCCTTCAGTCATCAGACAGCTGGTCATATTTGCGAGTCCCAGTTGTTACGTCACGTATATTTTTACTACATAGTTGCGCGCTATGAACTGACAGCCATTCTTGTCCCCAGAACTACCGTAAACCCCCTATTAAGCGCACCGCTCTAAGAAGCTCTCCCCCCCCCCCCATCTTTAGAGAGGAAGAAATTTAGTAGTTGGCACGGGTTTGCTTGAGCGATGGCAAAATATGTTCCGAAGAGTATTTTTTTATGCTAGCGCACTGGTAAAACTTTAGTGCGCCCTGAAAACAAACGCAGGTCTGCGCCACGCATCAATCAGGTCCTAAGGGCTTTTATGCTCTCATATATCCTCAAAATATGTCCCGAAATATCCGTAAGACGACCTCGTGAAATTACAAAACATTCTAACATACTGTGGTTCTCAAACTGTCAAAGCGTAATTCTTTAATCAAATGCTGTTTTGCAAATTAGCGCATTTGTGCCATAATCCCCCGAAATAAAAACTCAATTGGCCCTTTGAAAGTTCTTCAGACCCAAATTATGATGCTGGCGGCGTTGTCTTGACAACTACCGAAAGAGGATTTAATTTGACTGACAACCAGTCAATCATAATACGATTCTTCCGTTCTTAGCCATTTAGTATAATTGCCTTTTTATGATATTCAATACAATTCACCGAGTGATTCATTATGTAAGGAACTATCAAGATACGTTGAACTTTTAGGGAAATTCTTGCGGAATTAGACTTTAATGGAGAGACCCAGTGGAAGGAAATGATTTGGAGCTGTGTAGAGTTTCGAAGACGATGGCAGAAAGATATGAAAGTTGCTCATCCGAACCAAAGCGCACAGCTGCGGCATTCTTTCAGCACCTTCCACCAGCAGCGGGATCGAAGAGGTATGTAAACTTAACACTTACTAGATATCATTTACTCCTCGAAAAAGTGGCATCTTTTCAATAACAATTAACTGGCTCTTTGCTGATATATTTTAAAGTGATCTTGCTGAACTTGCAATTCGTGGAAGACCGACCAAAACAAGCTGTTTGCTTTCTTTTAAAATTTAGTGTTCGCTTAGGAACGCAGTTCAATGTATTTGAGATATCGAGTCCAAGGTAGTACAGTTGTGAAGTGTTTGTTCTAAAGCAGCGAATCTTTTGGATGTTTATACGCGACCGTTGCAGACAACATTGTTTGATAACCAGTCTTAATTATTTTCAAGGTTATATTGAGAACAAAGGTACTTGAAACGTTATATCATGCCTAAGGAGTCTGTAACCCAGGAAACGACCCCAGCGGCAATGTCGTTCCTTCAGATTCCAGAGACGTCGTCTGCAGTCGAACTCGTGCCCGGAAACTCTCGAGTTGGTTCGGTAGCGTCTTCGGTGAAGTCTGGTTCGATACACTTTTCAACAACTGTACGAATGCTTGCTCCAATGATATGGTCGCGAATACAGTCTCGTAGAGCGGTTTGTTATTGTTCTGGTTTTTTAACGCTTATGAACAACACTGAAAGATATATCGTTGTTTAATGAGGACTTTTGTGGCTATAGCGAGTTTCTTGTGTTCCCATCTCAACGGTGTATCGTTTTGTCGTCAAGACAATGTCGCAAACTATTGTAAACTGCTAACAAGTCCACCAGTAGTTTGTCGTTTTTCCTTCCTTTTACAAAATTTTCATGCACGTAATTGACACTTAGGCAGGTATTATGATTTGAAGATGCCATAAATTTGCTTGTTTTAGTAATGACCTCGGACACGATTAGAATTTCAAGCATGCTAAGCTTCTTATGGAACGCGTGATTTTTTGTTCGGTTTTCACATCTTGTTTCTATTTCTTCTTTCAGAAATCAGTGGCCTTTACCACCCCTGTTTCTTTCAACACAAATGATTCTTCAAACGAGTAAGTTATAATTTTTCCTTTTCGATTGTGGCATGGGCATTTGAAAAGAACATCACTTCTATAATTAATTGCAAGTAATTAGCAATCTAAATTAAAAAAAAATTGTCTTTCTCCTGTCCTTTGGCAGTTTATGAGGGCTCACCCACCCACCCATCCCACATGATTAGCAAGCTTTGTGTGCAAGCACACATTTGGTTTGATAGTTTGACAGCGGACAAAGAAGTCAAAGAGTGTGCCAATTTATTTATTTTATTTAATTTTTTTTAATTGTTTAATCAAAGATTGAATAGATGTTGAATGATGGCCTGGGCCAAGGGAATGTAGTGGTTTGTAAAGAATACAATTAATGAGGATTTTATGGAATGACGTTTGCTTTGATGTCAATGTAAAGGACTTAAATGTAAATCTGAAAGCAAGGATTCAAATTTAACCCTTTGGAAAGGATGATCTATTTCATGTGATTAACTGTCATGCAGTCATACACAGAAAAAATTCACCAGTGCAAACTTTTGAAATTGTTTTCAAACATGTTATGGATACATTTTTTAAGAAGATGTACAGGGTATAAACATAAAACAAACAAAACATGATTACAAGCACATTTTCAGTATAGGAGATTAAAGAATTATGAAAAGACAACCTCTGTGATATCAGAAAGTTAATCTGTACCTCAATGAATGTAGGAAAATATTTGTGTAGAAAGAATTGTATGGTATAAAAATGTGAGAAGTGAAAGAGTGGCATTTATAAAAGAGATAAAAAAATAATTTATTTTATTTTTTTTTTAATACATGAGTTTTTAATTTAGGGGTAGATAAATTTTGTCCTACATAGTAATGAAGTGTATTATGTTTGACAACTATGAATTGATATGGAACATCTACTAAGGATTTCTTTAACAAAATTTATGTTTAAGATTAAAGTATTTAAACTTGTCTTTCTGGAATAATATGTTTTGGACTAATGTTCTACCATGAAAGAAAGTGTTTCTTTGATTTTGTCTGAGTTATCTTTCAGTTTATTGACCAATCTTTTGTTCCTTTTATTGTTCAACTTTCCTTTGTCTTTTTTATAGTCTTTGACAGCAAGTTAATGATCTATGCAAATTTCAGCAGAAATCAATTTTGCAATCATCCAAGTGTGACCTTTGAAGAGTGTTAATGCCATGGCTACCTACATAAGGCTTCAAAAAGATTCTATGATACCCAAGAATGATTTTTACACATGGTCTAACTAATACTAAAAATAATTTACTGAAGCCCTGGAACTGTGTCTGAAAAACACACAATGGCTCTCAAAGAAACATCTGAGATATTAATAAGATCATAGCATGGGATTATACACACAAACACAAAATTGTTATTAATACCTTTGGTCTCAAGAAGAAATGGGTGCAAGGTAGGAAATATTTAAATAGATCTTTGAGAGTTTTGGGCAGATTTTCTTACTTTAAGTTTCTTGTGCACAGCATAGTTTTGTAATGCTGAAATTTTGGTGTAAATTTACAACTGATATCTACCTTTTTGTTATCGCATGAAGAGTTGATGATTAGATTGTCAGTTATTATTATTATACAGCAGCTTCTTATATTTACTAAACAAACTTTTAAATATTTTAAAGTATTTGTTACCTTCTCTGTGAACAACTTGATCATTTCTTGTAATCTTGGAAGCAGTTAAAATGTATAAAATAATATGAACTTAATGTAGAAACATTACGACACGTTTCATTTATCATTGTTATAACATTATTTGTTTTTGAAAAATGGCTTGGTTGTCAAATAGGACTCTCTTGCCAACATACCCTGTGGTTCACAGGTGCATGTGATTACTGGTATGGTCAAGTCTTATCTAAATTATTAAATCAATTGAACCTACATTTGGTTCTAGCCTGTCTTAAAATAGATTTACATGTAATCCATGAGAAAAAGAGCTACAAGCTATGTCTTTTTACGTCATTGTACATTCAGTCTTTTAATCATAACTGTTTAGCTCATATGAAGAAAGGCTGATAGTTTCGAAAGAAACTGTTTGGGGCTGTGTCGGTGGGAGTAATGAAATAATTTGGATATATCAACAAAGTTGAAATGGTAAATTAGCCACCGTAACGATTACAAAAGCTGACGTTTCCAACGTTAGCCCTTCGCTCATAGACTGTTGCAGGCTTTCAACTAATAACACAGATCAAAATGGTAAATGGCACAATTAATAGTAGGGGCAAAGCTAGAAGGAGGGTCAGGCACCTGCCCTGTTTTAAATCACTGTACTCTTCAACACAGCAATACCAAGGGTCTGGAGCCCTTGCGGTTGGAGGAAGAATTGGACATCCAACATCTTGAAACCCTCATGTTCAAATTTAAGACACACATTCCTGACAAGGTAGAACTCAAGAAATGGCTGACAAGGAGAGGATCAGAATACAGAGATCCTACCAGGTTTCATTCTGCTGGGTTAATGACACAGGAAGAATTTCATGAAATGCTAGCAGATTTATTAGAAGTTGAGACATGGGACCGCCATAAGGTGGCACTATTTGAGAAGGAAATAGGAACATTATTTAAAAAGGTACACAGTCCTCTTTGATACATGTCAACAATATAATCATTCCATATGTCTATGTATTCTTCAGTAATGTAATTATTTGTATTTGCCCAATATGTTCCTCCTAGGTTGATATTGCATCTGATGGCCTTGTTGACTGGGATGAATTCTGTACTTATCTGATGCTTCAGTTTGACGAGAATGACCAAGCCACAAAAGTTAATGGGAATACTTTTATTCCTAAGCCAAATATTGTTAGGATAGATCATAACAAGGTAAACCACACAATTTTGATAACTATAGGCTTTGAGCACTAATACCTACCACAAATACTCTAAGAAGCCATCCCCCTCTAATAACTAATAACCCCCCCTCTGATAAAAGGAAAAAATTTATTAACTCCCCCTCTCTATTAAGCCCCCCACCCCTCCCCCTCAAAAAAAAAAAAGAAATTCAAAATTACCCTCCATGTCAGTAAGTGTGATTTATTTAATTTATTTATTTAAGTATTGTCATTTTAGTTTGTCATTTAAAATTTATCATACAAACATACATACATATACATACATACATACATACTTACCTACATACATACATACATTTTAATTGTGTTTAGAGACAAAAGTACAGTAACATGCCTGCAGGTAGCTAAGCTAATCTAGGCGGGTCATGTTTACAGGAAAAAGATATAACTAGTAAATACAGCTAAAAGTAACAAGAGAACTAAAAAAGCTAGAATTGACTACAATGACTAGAGACTACTGATAAACTAATGATATTACTATAATATGTTAATATTATAATATTAAATGACAACAGTCTTGACGGGAAATTACTGATACATTAAACAATATAACTGAATACCTATCAACTGATCAATAAAGAGGAAGATAAATTCAACTTAACTTTTTGAACAATTTCTGGAAGATCAATATAACAATCTTCTGAAGCTAGGATCTCAAAAAGTGTTTGTTTTATTTTCCTCTTAAAGGCATTTTTTAAAAGTTTTCCAAAAGATACAAGCAATTGATTGATCATGGCAGTAATTTTTGATTGATCATGGCAATTGATTGATTGATGTTATCAAAATGATCATGACAAATCATACAATTCATCAGACTCTACTGAGGATTTTGAATCTGCCAATTTGGTAAATGAAAATATGTAAAATGAGAACAATGTTTGAATAAATATGGTACATCATATCCTATTGTATCCTGGTGGTGAACATCAGGCTAAATCAATAGGCCCCCCCCCTCTATTAAGTGTCCCTCCCCTTGAATAAGCCACCCCCTCAAAGTACCTGAAATAAATAATCCTCCCAGCTCGGGCTTATATTAAGTAGAGGATTTACCGTGATTTAACTTATATTCACACAAAAGAACTAACTCTAGGTTTAAATGTATTGTACATCGTCAAAGTCCAGTGGCTAAACACTCTTCTTTGTAATTACAGTACAGTGTACTGTATTTATTAATCAAAATGCCTGCTTTCATCTTCAGGAGACAACAACAAAAATTCTCACAGATTTTAATCCCATGAGATATGTAACAATTAGTAAGGTAGGACACATGTAAAAAATACAATTTTTATCTGATATAAGTTTATTTCATCAGTTTTTTTTTTGTTGTTGTTGTTAGAATAAACCAAAGAATAGTTTTGTGTCAAAGATATCTTAAGAATTTAAACTTTTGTACAATCAACGTGAGTCGGCCAAATGCCTTGGTATCCACATGGTCAAGGTCAAGAATTAAATCTTAGTAATTACTGTCATTAGGAAGGAATTATTGGAGTCTGGAGTACAGAACTGGACCTTCAAAGGAAAATTGAAATGGAGCATAATAACTCAGATGCTGAGCGTACTTCCAACAAGAGACACATCAAGATGTGGGTTACAGATGCTGTTGCTATGCCAAATGTGCATAAGATGGCTTTATCTACCACAAACAGAGACATACATTTTTATGATATGTCCACACCAATTTACATCCCACAATTTCATCTTTGTGGTGAGTAATTACTTTACATAATACAGATAACTAGGCAGCAAAAGAATTGTTCTTTTAACACCTCTTTTATCCATTATCTTCAGCTCTTGGAAATGTGGTTCTGTGTCTTGATTATTGTTACAACAAGAAAGTAAGTGGTTGTGTAGATGTTATGAATAAATTTCATTAATCAAATTTCTAAAAGTAACAGTTTTAAAGAATTAAGCTTAAAAGCTTTTGGTTGATAATAATTCCAATGTTAAGGAATGAGAGGGAAATCTTGGTGGGGAGGGTGGATCAGTACTTAATCCCTTCATCCAGGTATTTATTGTACAAATTATTACGATGTTGACTGAAGCATTTCCTGTCTATAGTTGCCTGCTGGCAAGTCAATGCTTTTTCTTGGAATGGACAATGGCGTCATTTTGTTCCTTGTGTTCTCTACACCTCTCAAAGGACTGTTTGAGACTCCGTTCAAGAAGACATCAGGCAGTCACCAGGTTTACCTTCAGGTTAGTACTAGCTATGATAGCTCTCTCTCTCAGCTTCTGTTACGCGTAATGACTAAGTACAATTGAACAAGTGTTATGTAGAGGTGGTAAGTAAGTATTACTAAGTAAGTAAACACTTTATTTATAGGGGGTACTGACTAAATAGCTAAAAGCTGATGAACTTGTGGCCATTAATTAAAAATAAGAGTAAATATTAAGCTAAATAGTAAAATGATATAGACTACACTGTTTTTTAAAAATTACATTAAAAAGACTCTTCTTAAATGCAGGAAGAGAATCTTTACGTCTTAATTCTAAAGATAATTTATTCCCTAGTCTGCAAGTTCTAACTAAGAAAGACTTTCGACCTTCTTGGTCTGGATGGGAATGTGAGATGGGGATAATGTGTATTGGATACGGACTAGGGAAAGAATAGTGTTTCATGTTGCTACCTCACTTTTTAATGGATTTAACTGCAGAGAGGCCAAGAGTGGGAGTGTACAATTGGGTATGCAACGTGGAAAGAAGGGAGGAAAGAGGCATTGGGAAGATAATAAAGTTTTCCGATGTTTTCTAATGTAAGTTGTGATTTTGTTCCCAGGACATTCCAACTCACTCTCGTTTTGTATCTTGCCACACTCTGGGGCAAGTCCATTCTGATTGGGTGAGGAGAGTGAGGTATATTCCAGCAAAGGAGTTCGTTATTTCTTGTAGCGGCAGTGGAAAAGACTCGCTTGTAGTTAGAGATATCGATGATAAGAAGCGGAAAACATACACTTTTAAAGTGGCAAAGGTAAACACAATGCCTTTAGATAATTTTTGTCTTAAGATGTTAAAGTGAATTGTGTGCAAACTGTTCAATTTACAATCAAAAATGGATTGTAAATTTGGTGGTCGCTAAGTATGAAAAATGCATGTGATCAGATTTTTATTAGTATCCATTTCAACGTTCAACTCCATATATTGGTCCCCAACGTGCAAAAGGTCCTCCACTAGCGCGACTCTTTCTGCTCTAAACGTCCTCGCTGCCGTAGGGACAAATTAACATTGCCGCAAAAATTATACTCGCGCAATTATCGCTGCGGCATATTGCTACTTTATGTCTTAAAAATTTCTTGCCCCGTTCGTCCCAACGTTAAAATTGTGCCAGTGATAGCAGTTAAGTGACTTACCATAGAAACACCTTACAAAGTATCGACGGTCGTCGATTTGACCAAGAGATAAGGTCCATGATGAATGACGGATGAGGAGTTCTTTTCAATTAAGGCACCTCGGTTCATATAACATATCATTCGATAATGATCGATCAATATGTCAGTCGGTAGGCTGCTAGTTATCTGCGTCAGGTGAAGAACGGCGAAGCGGCGGGTGTTTTAAACGTAAGTACGCCGGGCGGTGTGCGCACTCCGATTGCATTGCATTGTGGTAGCGTTATTTTCAATATGGCGGTAAAAGCGGCAGAAATCGACAGATTTTGACTGATCAATCCGTAAATGTTAGGCCTTTTCTTTTTCCTTTCACTATAGGTAAATGTAATTTGATATATTCTGAATATGTAGAAGTGTTTTTGTATGTATCTGTCGCGTATTCTATCGTCCTCAGGGATGGACGCAATCACTATTTTTTGCATGTAATTTGAGACCGGTTTTCGAGAAGGTCAAATTCGTTTTACGTCGTAATTTGAAGCCTTTCAAAGATTTTATTGGCCACTTTGATCCTTCTTCAACGCCTCTGACCAAACGCTCCTAAACCTCTCCAACGGTACAAATATTTTAAGCATTTTAAGTGATGGTGTTTGAGACCTGTTATGGCAGCGAAAAGGCCCATTGTTGCGTTTAGTGTGTTGCGTTACATAGCGTTACTACTGCAAGGACATTTGCTGTATGTACTCAGTCGTGTTGTAAATCTACTTTCCTAAGTGAAGGCAAATTAACTAATCACGAGTGTTGTATGGTAAATCTACTATCTTGATAATTGAATGAAGGACAGTTTAATTAGAGCAACGAAAAGACTCTTTTGATCAATGAAAACCTCTACCTTGCGTGAGGCGACACGCCTGTGAGCCGGAAAGCAAAAGGCAGTCAACAGTTGAAAGGTGTTGATGGGCCTGTGCATCTCCTACCATTCGCTAGCGCTTTTAAATCTTCTACCCTCAAAGTTTAGCACTCATTAGGATATCTCTTAATGACTTTCCTCTGCAATGTGATAATAAGGGTCAGTTTTAAGATGTCATTTCCCCATCTGTATGTTCTCGAGGTTTGGCAAAGCCGGATGAGATTGTGCTACAAAAAGCAATATTTTCTTCTGCACGCGCTATTTTCTTTGTTTTAAAGTATACTTTCCCTCCTGCGAAAACGACTCCAGAGATACGTTTCTCAAAACCCTCGTCTAGGTTTTCTCTATTCTCGAAGCGTATTTTGAAACTGTACGTTTTTACTAAACGCGGAGCGAGGCAAATTCGTTTAGAGGGGGCCCGAGGCTTCTCCTTTTACAAACTCCGTATTTGCGCTTGGGGGAAAAAGTTCGTACATTAGAAGGTCTTTGTCTCTTTCATATGCGTTTGCATGAAAAGGGCCAATTCCCTATTAAATAACTCCCGATTGGGAATATGATTTCTGACTTTGATATCATTCATCCCACCATCGGTTGTGAGTGTAATTGTTGGCATTTGTGTCGAGAATCTTCGGCAGATTGCAGTTTCGAATCTTTCTTAATAATATCGGTTGCCTCCTAAGAACGAATTCATTTCGGAGGAATGACACGAGTCGCGCGGGCCCGTCAGCTTTTTAACTTCTGAAGAAACGGCAACAGACAGTGAACCCCATTACAATCTACGTATATTCACGCTATCTCGCTGCCACCCATGAAGTTCACTCGAACGCGTCAAGATGCAAAGGACTCACTTTTTGTTTTACGACCATGATGCAACGCAATCAGAGTGCGCATACCGCCTAAGCGTACGCACAACCGCCGGTTACACAGATACACTGTAGTCAGTCTGTCAGTCTTTAGCCGATTGATAGTCGTTGGTAGTTGGTCTATAAAAGATCAATGATATACTTACACTTATATGATACTTAGAGGCCTCGCTCAAGATGCTTGCTGACTGTCGGAACAACGACACGTTAGTTGACTCACTGACTTTTTTTTCTGTGCAGGGTGTGGAATGTTTTGACTACAGTCACAACCTGAATGTTATCTGCACCGGTGGAGTGGATCACGCTGTTCGTCTGTGGAATCCTTACGTGACAGTGAAACCTGTCGCCATTATGAAGGGGCACCAGTCCTCTATCATCGACTTGGCAATTCATGAGGGTCTGGAGCAGGTCTTCAGTTATGACAAGGATGGGGTAAGAGACTCAAAGAATACTGTTTACATACTATAGGGGTAGAATAATCGTATTAACTGAAGGCGTATAAATTCATGAAGATTGCAAAATGTTGCATTCGAGTTTGTTGAAATAACTTCCAGTGCGAATTGGTAAATAAAGATACACGCTTAAGTAAGAGTGTTCTCCTTTCTACAGGTGAGTTTTCTGAGAACATTCCCGCATGTTGAGTCACCAGAAAGTCAGGAGAAAGAGTCAAAAAGCATTTTTTTCTACTGAAAATCTTCCTTGTTGATGAGCTTGGTATTGCTATCGTCTTGTTACATTATCTTTTGCTTTTAAACTGGCACCAAAAGCTGTTAAGAATAAAGCTGTAAGATGAGTGTGTTGTTACTTTTCGAATTACTGATATGTGTTTGAGCCTTTACCTTTCATTGTCATGTTGAAATGCAGGTATTGAAGGCCTGGGATATCAGAGAGCAAGTATGTCATCAAACAATACCCGTCAGGTTCCCATTTGGCCACAGAATTCCTGAACACGGACCTTTTCCATTTCTCCTCATCACTTCACCCATCAACTCTCTGTTTATTGGGAGTAACGATTGCTTGGCAGAGATCAAGATCGTAGCAATGGGTGCAAATAAGAACGGTAAGACTACTCACTGGAGACCCCTGACTGCTGCTCTGTACAACTCAAGCATGGGTCACGTCATCACGGCTTGTGAAGGGTCCGTTGTAACATTCTGGGATCTGAACACCGGACGCCAGGCGCAACACATTTCAGAGGCACATGGCACGGAGGAAATCTCTTGCATGACAATTGATCCTTCAGGGCGGCGTCTTATGACTGGGGACAGGAGTGGTAACATTCATGTGAGTTACACCTCGTGAAGTTTGTGATTGAGTTGGGCGTTTTAAAGAGAACCTTGATCCAGTTATCACGCTAAACGCTAAACGTAGTAGTGTTTATAGTTCCTTTGCTCTAGTATTTCTTACATATCATTATGAACTGAAATCACTTGGACAATTCGCTGTAACAATTAAAGCTGGAGATATTATTTGTTTTCTCTTCCAGATCTGGTAGTTCAGTAAATTCTCTTTATGTTCTTACGAGCATTTCTCCTGTAACTATTTTTTCTTCATGCGTTCCTTTTTAAGAAACAACTTCACAGGGAAATAGTACACAATTTGGAATGCTTAATCCTCGATGATGTAATTTTGTGAATGCTTAATTGAGAGAAAATAATTTTTTTCATGATTCACAGGTTTGGAATGCCAGTAATGGTCATCTGTTGAACAAACTTGAACCTGTGGAGGAAAATGAAGTGACAGGAATCATTTCTCTTCCAGAAAAAAGCAAAATAATCACAGTGGGATGGAATCGCAAGATTCTGGTTTATTATGACGATATGCAGGTGCGGAAAGCAAAAAGTCGTTCGTTTAACTAAACTTTGTGGAAACCTAGCGGTGCTGTAAGATATGTTGTAGATTTTGGATACGCACATGGATAAAAGATGTCAAATGTAAGTGCAGAGAATTCCAGTCTTCTCAATTTTAACAAGTCTGCATACTTTTTGACCCGCATAGTTCTTGGAGATTCTCAGGTTTTTCTAACAATTCATAAAGAGAGGTGCTGTGAGAGTGAGGGCTTTTGTTCAAGAAAATAAACCAGAGGTCTTGGCGAGGACACAAACTCTGACAGTCGATCAGGAGTCCTGTGCACCAACATTTAAGGCACTTTGTATCTCACTGTTAACTGTGCGTTTTTATTTTTTTACTCCGTTATTTAGACATTTTGTCTTCGACCCAACGCAGGTTGGAAAGGAGGGCAGTTGCATCAGGTAACACAAGACAATTGTAAAAGCGCAGACCAATATTTGGAGCAGTGATTTACGAATAACAACAACAACAACAACAAAATTGACTTTATTTTTAAAATTAAAGAATTAAAGGCTTTTGTAGCCCGCAGTTAGCAAAGCTATTCTAGGCGGGCTACCTAAACAGACACCGTATAGGCTCTCTCACATACACACACACACACACACACACACACACACACGCACGCACGCACGCACGCAACAATGAAATAAATAAATAAATGAGCAAATAAAAATAAATAATAAATAATAGTAGTGATAATCATGTTAAAGGTTTTAACTGAGCCAGTCACACAAGGGAGTTTTTAACAGGTCAAAGAGAAATTAATGTTTTGCGATTAGACTCAAGTTTCCTCTTTAGCTAATCGAGCTCGCTGCTTAATCTCCAGGACGATATTTTGACTGCCGCCTACTGTCCCCCAAATTACCTTGCCACGGCCAGTTTTGACGGGGATATCATTCTTTGGGGTCTGGACCGAGAGAAGATGATTCGACGACTGAAAAAAGGATCTGGAAGTTTGTTGTGAGTAGACCTCCTTTCGTATTTTAAATTGCAGTCGCTTCCTTGTGAATCAATGTTAACGTTGTTGTTTCTTGTTGTTGATTGTTTATCCTTTCTAGAAAAGCTAAGATTAAAAAGCTGGGCCTTATCCAAAACAAAAAATCATAGTAAGTCTGAGTCACGTTTTATTCCTTTACCTGATTTGTATGTCCCGAAGAGAGATTTATTGTTGTCTCTAAAGTCGTGTGCAGCGGTGGCAAGTTCTTCGTATAACGCGCTGGTTACTCTTCGTTTGCTATTTTTCAGTCAAAATAGCTGTGGCGCACCGGTGGACAAGTTATTGTTTCTTAAATCAAGAGCTCAGTGGAGGACACAGGAGAGCGCTGTTCTTGTGTCATCGGAGGCTGGTACTCTGGAGTTTTGGTGTTTTTACGGCGCGAACAGACCCATGGGTATGCACCTCAATATTTATGGTGTAACAACTGAGAGATATGAATCCAACAATTTTTTTCCCCTTTTTTTCCCCATGACTATTGTATTTCGTGCCACAGGAAGATATTTCGCTGCCAGTGAGGATGAAAGTACTATATTTGCGTTAACAACTGACCCCAGTAACGAGATGTTGATAACTGGTGATTCTAACGGCACCATCTCTGTGTGGGACATCAGCTCTTACTGCATTTCAAGAGCAGAAGCCATTGTTGCTCAGGTACGGTGTAGTTGATTATTTTCCAAAGGAGAAACGTGTTACTAATGAAAGTTTTCAAAATAAGAGGTTTTTCAAACCATTTGTGTATTTATCGACTTTATCAGCCGATTCCATTGCCCTTTTGATTTACTTTTATGTCGATATCGTGAAGTAGAGCAGTGGAGCAGCGAGAAAACGATGGTTGTATGACCTTTTTAGATATTTCCTACCCAGTAATCTTTTCATTTTCACGAATTTGCTCTTCAGGTTTGGTCGACAACTCAAAGAGCTGGCTCCACCGATGATAACCCAGAAGGCAAACCTCCAGTACTCTCCAGTTGGCATGCGCATTATGGCTCTGTGTCCAGTGTGGAGTACATACGACGTGATGAAGGCGCTTTATTGCTTTCCGCTTCTGAGGACTGCACAGCAAGGCTCTGGACACTGAACGGTCAATGCATCGGAATGTTTGGGCAGGTTCGGGTGTAGAATTCGTCTTCATTTGTGATATTACTTTCACGATGAAATGAGAATTTTTTAAGTACAGATACCACTAAAGCCCTCGTTCATGCGGTTGTTACCTCGCGCGTAGATTAATGCAATAGTCTTTTATATGGCTTGCCAGCTTCTCACCTGAATAAGATTCAGCGCGTTTTAAATGCCGCAGCAAGACTACTTTGTCGCGCGCCACGCTACTGTCGCAGAACGCCGTTGCTATACGAGCTGCACTGGCTACCGGTTAGGCAACGCATTAGTTTTAAGATTCTGCTATTTGTTTTTAAGGCCATCCATGGAATTGCGCCAACGTGTTTAAGAGAATTTGTGTCATTTAAAGACCGTGAGGAAATTATAAATTAAGATCCTCCTTGGAGGGTTTGTTGCTTGCAACGCCAACTTATAGAAGTAGGAGACAGATCATTCTAGGTCGCAGCTCCGGCACTTTGGAATGTATTACCGCGTGAGATTCGTTCTATTACAGATATAGGGATTTTTAAGTGCCACCTGAAAACGCACCTCTGTAAGGAAGCTTGTATTAATTTTTATTAAAATCTTATCATGATAGTTGCTAGTATCTTAACATATGCTGTATGCTTTAATTTTATCATAGTATATTTTTAAGAACTATTATTGAGATGTAATGCGCGCTTGATCATTTCATGGAAAGAGCGCAATATAAGAATTAAATTATGATAATTATTATTATTATTTGCTATTATTTTGTTTATTCTGAGATTATAACCCTTTTTTTTCTTGCAGAAGAGGTTGTGGAACGTCGACGATCCAAGTTCTTACAGACTTGCAGGGTGAGAAGGCTGCTACGTCAGGATCAATATTGTTGTGAAGTTGCCAATTTAGTTTTGTTTGTTAATCTGTTGTATTTTGTTATTTTGTATAGAAATAATGGTCTCGAAGGAAAGGAAACCGAGGAAGGTAAAACATAACACGAATATTATTCGAACTATAGCGATATTCAGCATGTTGTCGAACCACAATATCTCTCAGACTTGATAGAAATCAAAGTGAGTTGGCGGTATCAGTTGAGATCACACCGGGGCATACTTCTAATCGATAACACCTACAGAACAAAAAAGACACTCGGGGATAGGGCGTTCGAACATGGTGCGCCCAAAGTATGGAACCGACTACCTCTGGAAATTAGACAGTGTCAATCGTTGGATACTTTTAAAGTTTTACTGAAGACACATCTTTTTAATTTAGCTTTCTATTAGTTCTTTTATTAATTCATATTTTTCCTTAATTGTTTTTCCGGAAATTTGTAAATTATTATTATCACTATCATTATTAGGATTAGCCCCATTGCTGTAAGATTTTTAATGATGTAATGCTCATTCGATCATATCTTTTATTGCATGTTAGACTGCGCAATATAAGAAATAAACATCATTATAATGATTATTATTATTATTATTATTATTATAATTATTATTATTATTGTTGTTTGCACCAACTTAGTGGTTTCACTGGTTTGATAGTCTAACTTGGATCCTGGTCTCGGTCTTCAATTCTGCACAGCCGAACCTGACCAAATTTCAGTAGTCGAAGCTAACATGGCAAGAGACGGAACTTTGGTTACGTCGACTAAGTTGACATTGTAAATTGGCTACCGTAACGAGTTAAAGAGCTGACGTTTCGAGCGTTAGCCCTTCGTCAGAGCGTATCAAGTTTGCTTTCTAAAGGCCACGCAAATTAAATCATTCAGATAAAATTTGCCATCAGTTTTTTTCGCGTCTTTTTAGAAAAGGGAAGTAACGGAAGAAAAAGTCAACTCGGCGAGATGGGTGGTTCAAATGCTGACCGAACCTCCCCACTCAGTGTAAGTCCAGTTCGACGAAGCACTAGTCCATTAATCTCCGAACAGCCTCATTTAAGCAGAAGGTGAGTTTTTCTTGTTTTCGCTTCATCTTCTGCGTCTTCTCCAAGACGAAAAAAGAAAATGCTTTCAATTGCTCTCTTTGTGAATTTTACACTGAGTTTGAGATTTGCTTTTGCATTGTGATTCAATGAATTTCTTCAAAAAACAAAATATCGTGTTAGCTTTATTTTACAAGCAATCACAATCGGAATCATTCTTTCTTTTGGGTCATTTAGCACACCCACAACTCCTCGCGAGCGCAGCTTCTTGCCAAGCATTGAAGTGGCGATGGCAGGTGAAGATGGAAGCGAAGAAGACCCATACTCCTGGATGAAGAATGAATACTACAGGTCCATGACCAGCTTGGTGCTGGAAAGATCCTCCAAGAACTCACAGTCGTGGGTAAGTCAATGTTTGTTAGCGCATCCACTGGTTTTTTTTCAGGTTTCGGTTGTCGAGATTAAGCGTTCAACTGGAGCTTTCCAGCTATTTTCTTCTTTTGTTTTGTTTTTTCCCTTTTATTGTACGTTACTTACAAAAGAAATAAAAAATCCCAAAAGACAGGTACGGGATCGAACGATTAGCACCTTGCAGAAAGCTTTCCAGCTTGTTTAAGATGGAAAGACAGAAGCTTCCTTTTACTTTCTTAGGGTTAATAAAGTACCTGCCTCACGCTTTTGTTTAGTAGCGTCAGTGCTATTTTTGTGCTATTCCAAGTCTACGGTGGCCCAGAAGGCTCAACGCAAACAAAAAATATACTGCAACAAATAAAAAATATACTGCAGCAAAAATAATATACTGCAGCAAATAAAGAAGATCAAAACGCAAAGAAAAAAAGTACCGCAGCAAATAAAAAAATGCAACGCAAACAAAAAATACTGCAGCAAATAAAATATGTAACGCAAACAAAAAAAAGAAAACGCAAACAAAAAAAATTGGAACGCAACGCCAAGGAAGACTGGGTAATAGTTCTTAGTTTCCCGCCAAAACAGCATGAACTGGAACTCGTTTTTGGTTATGGACGAAAGTGATCTGCGTAGGATTATAGAAGATTACTTTCATCAATGGTATGAAAATAAAGTTATTATCGAATTTTTAAAGGAGCAGCATGGTACTGTCATAAGTTCGCTGCAAAACATGGTTTCGGAAAGGCGAACAAGCAAAGGATGGAACGAGTGTTGGCGGGAAACTAAGAACTATTACTCAGTCTTCCTTGGCGTTGCGTTCCAATTTTTTGTTTGCGTTTTCATTTTTTTTTTGTTTGCGTTGCATATTTTGTTTGCTGCAGTATTTTTTGTTTGCGTTGCATTTTTTATTTGCTGCGGTACTTTTTTTCTTTGCGTTTTGATTTTTTTGTTTGCTGCAGTATATTTTTTAGTTGCTGCAGTATATTTTTTATTTGCTGCAGTATATTTTTTATTTGCTGCAGCATACTTTTTGTTTGCGTTGAGCCTTCTGGGCCACCGTACAAGTCGTTGTATACGAAGCATGGAAATAATTTTCAAATCATTACCGTGAAACAAAGGACAGGCCTTTTTTGGTCTTTGTTCGATGAAGGCGTGCTGTGGAAAATTTAAATTCTCAAAGCGTCCTGATACTAAACCAAGGCGATCCCTGATGACGAATGACGCCAAATTGTAACTTGTTCTGTCGTTTTCATTCGTGTCTTTGTTAGTCTATCCTGGGGGATCATTACAACAAGGATTTTAGGCGCCGCATGGAGACGAGGCAATCGCGAAGAGATCACGTGGGTAACGTGAACCGAAAGTTAACGTGCGGAGGAGGATTGGGAAACACCTGTTCTCCTTTCCAAGCGCTTCATATCCCTGTAAGTTGATCTAAGAACGTGATTAATTAAAAGCATTGATTTTGTTAAAGAAAATACTGGAATATATCATGGGCGGGAAATAATATTCTTTCCCTGGTGCATGAATCTAGCATGCTACAAATTTTAACTCATACTTTTCATAAGTTTTTTCATAATTCTCCGATCCTTAATAAACAATAACTATGCACCATGTTATCTGAGTCCTTTCATTCATTTTGACCTACAAACCTCCCTTCATTTAAAGGAGATGTCAGAATGTAAGCTGGTAAGAAAGAAAAACGCCTCAGAGACAATAAAAACACAAGAAAAATTAGGAATGGATAAGAATCGAGACAATTTATACGGATTGTAGATGAGGATCATGAGAAATTCAGGCCTAAGAATAAAGATGCTTCAGCCATCGTGCAGCTAGAGAATAAAAAAAAAAATACAGCCACAGAAAAAAAAATTGCCACATGTATATTCCTCTTATAACAGGACACGAAAGAGTATGAACTGCCAAAAAACATGCCAGTGTCATCCCGTATGACGCACAAGACCAACAGAGCGTCAGCAGAACCCATCTGGATGGCTGTCAGACAGGGTGCATTGCCGCCATTACCAGCGCTCAAGAGATCTGACAGCTTCCTCACCATGGCGGATTCTGCGTCAGGAAACACGTCGCAGTTCTCGTTTTTGGTTGAATAAGACTGAAGGAGGCTCACAGCAGGAGGAATTGGTGATCAACAGCTTTGCAGTTGTAGTGATCGGCATCACAGCAGAGAAAGATTTGTTTCGCAGTCGACTTTGCCTCAACAAACTTAAGGAAGAACAATAGGAGATAAGTCTCGTGTTTAGTGAACAAGCAGATGAACTTTGGTTAAGACTGCTTACCTCCCTTCTTCAGACGTTCTCGTCAATGCGACCATTGCGCCAAAAATGAATTATATCTCAGTTGGAGAACATCTTGCTTGAGTTGAATATCAGTCAGTATCGTTTAGGTAAACTTAGGCATAATACAAAAGGGTGGTCAAATAAGATAAAATTATGGACTTGAAGCAGTGTACATGTGTACTTGTATTATAGTATTATAGTTTCGCTGACTTTCAGCAACAAATCCTGGAATGTATATTTTTTTATGGTAAATTATGATATCTATTATGAAGTTACATACACCGAGAACTTTGTAAAAAAAAACCACTCCCTATATTTATGTTTATGAAATGATGATGATATGGAAAGATTAGTGGCTAATAATGGACTTATTTGTATGTCATATGTAAAACAGCTGTAGTTAGAATACTCGTGAAGAATTGTTTAAATAATACAAGGAGTTGAATCAGGATTCAAAATTTCTCCATGAAATTATTCAAAATTCAGCCATGTAGATTAGGCGAAAATTCATGTGATCTATCAAAGTACTGTTTTGAATGTATAAATAAGTCAGACATTAAACTTTTTTACAAACCATAATTTTTGTCCCAGGTTACGTACAAGTTATTTTGTTTTTTCTTTTGTTTTTTATTGGTTTTGGGTTTTTGGGGGGTTTAGCAGCAACCTATACCACAGGGCAGTAATTACCACGTGACAACTGTCATCAGGGTAACCTACACAAAACTGACCAATCCGATCAGAGGATACACCCAATGAATTCCTTAAAAATATTCTGTTACCTTTGTTTGCTTAGCTCATGAGTACAAAATTGAGTTTAGGTGTGCATGGAATCGCAGTTGGCATTTGTTCAAGTGACAGTAGTGGACCTGTAGTGCCATAAAAATTAGTTCACCGCACAGCCTATTCCAGCGGTTTGGTTGGTAAACATCCGACCGGTGGATGAGGCAAGGTCAAAAATATGGGCAGCTCCTTCACAAAGATTCTAAGAGAGACATTCCGAGAATGGAAGGAAAGGTATAGTGGCGAAAAACCTCCACAACCTGACCAACAGGTTAATGTAAATCTATTTCTCTGACTACACATGAAATTTTTTTAAAGCATCTGTTGCTGAGTATCCGTGAGTGGGCTTGAGAATACGTATAGAGCTAAGTACAAATTTTAAACTAAGAAAGTCAACCAAAACTCGCAAAAAATTACAGGAGTATCAAAGAATTTTGCACCTTTCGTTGTCAATGTACGGACATTATTTTATTGGTTCCGCGTACAAGTCAATAGAATGTCGTAGTTTTTCAGGGGCTTTTTATGTAAGTAATAAGCAGTATTTAATATGAAAAAGGCAACTATATATTTTCGTTTCTATCGGAATTTTGGCGTTACTGTCAAGTCTAAATGATCTACTCAAGTATATGTTAGATCTTCTGTAAGCTAATTTAACATTTCTGTCTGTTTGTTTGTTAGTTTTTTGCATAACCCTTTAACTCACAGAAGTGATTAACATTTAACTTCTTCCTCTGTTACCGTAAATCCTCCATTTAAGCCACCCCCCTCTAATAAGCCCCCCCTCTTTAGAGGAAGAAATCTTTAAGCCCCCCACCCCTCCCCTTCAAAAAACAAAATTTGAAAATAACATTCCATGTCAGTGAGTACGATAAATTTATTCAAGAACTGTGATTTAATCATATAACTCATCGGACTTACTGAGGATTATGACTCTGTCAATTTTGTAAATACATTACATCCTATTGTATCCTGGTAGTAAACATCGGGCTAAATTAATAAGTACCCCCCTCTATTAAGCCCCTCCTCTAATAAGCCAACCACCCCCCACCCAAAGTACCTGAAATAAATAAACCCCCGGAGGGCTTCTTAGAGGATTTCCGGTATCCATACACTATCCTGCTGACAGGTATTGAAAATATTCAAACTTATCAATTAGAAATTGTTATCTTAATCTAACACCAAATTCTTGTCACTAATTAACAAGTAATCGTAAAGTAGCTGAAATAAAGAATTGACTCACATCTTGAGAGTTAAGGGTTAACCATATTTACTGTAAGCTTCGGCCTCCTTTCTTTTTTTCTCTCTCTCTCTTTTATGTTTTGCTTTTTTTTTTTCACAGTTATCTTGGACAATTGCGACATGTTAGTCATTTCATCCAAACCTGTAAGTTATTATTTTCTGTTGGCTTTTTAAAGCCAATTAAAATTAATTAAAATGAAGTTTCATCAGAATTGGTTAAGTATCCATGATGGATGTATTTTAATTAATGCGTTAATTGCATTCACATTTAATGAGTGAACAAACGGTTTTTCTCAGAGGTCAATTATGACACTTAATCTACGTCAGGTCTCAGAAATCATCCATAAGATTTGTTCTGTTAATTTGTGATGATCTCGCTCCCATGTTGATCGAAATGTCCTCAAGGATCGTTCTTTGAGATCGCAACTCCTTCCGCAACGTATAAAGACTGTAGAAACCATGGAAAACAAAATTGGAGTGAATGAATGCGATTAAATGACTGATTGAATGAGTTGATAAATGAGTGAATGAATAAATGAATAATTGAAAGAGTGTGTAAATGATAGGAACAATAAACGAACGAATACACCGAATGAAAATATGGCGTCCAATTTGAATTGCCATTGTTCTGGACTGATTAGCGTCTCACACATCTAATAATCCTTTTGTATTTCCACGTGAAGACGAGGCTAGTCAGTCCAGAACAATGGCAATTCAAATTGGACGCCATATTTGCATTCGGTGTATGAAGTATTCGAAAAATGACGATAGGAACGGATGACAAGGAAGGAAAAAAGTAATCAACATAGCTAAATCGTTTAATGAAACTTATCCTTGCCATGCTTACCTTTCTTGTTGCGTTCTGAGTTGTTCTTGAAGCTCTTTCATCTTGTCTTCTTCATGGGATGGCTTAGTTTTTTCCATCATTCGAACCGGAGCGTAATCTACTAGTCCCAGAGACCACTAACGAGTAACGGAAGAACAAAAAAAGTTGACAGCAGTCAATTAAAGTGCCAAAGTACATGAACACACCATTGCTCTAAAGACTCGAGTAGTTCACTTCGCTCATTTTTGGTTCATGTTTTCGTTGATTTCGATTGTTAGATTGTTCTTTTACTGTTACTATTCATTTGACAGCTGGTTCTTTCGTATTTTTAGTGGGTTATCTTACCGTTAATTTGCTCACAAAAGACATGGATCCCGAGTTTGGCCAAAGAACCAGCTTAGGCGAATATAGGCGATCTTTCATTTTAGATGGCAGCTTCTTTTCAAATTCAGACAGCGATTCTATCTGTTGAGAAAGATTGTCGTTGAATTATAGATTAGATTTCTTGAGTTGTTCCTGAGTTATCGTTCGGCACACTATCTAAGAAATATGTGGAAGTTATTCTATGTCAATGATGATTTGCTCTCCAAAATGCGATAAAGAGGGGAGAGAGAATTCCGCTTGGTGAGCTTTATATACCACAGTTCAACTCTACGAACTACTTCACATTGATCAGGAGGTCTTTCTCAACCAGAATCAAGTGTCAGACCTTTTCTGTGGCGATGGTTGAACGAAACTCCGATTTTTCGGTATCTTTTTCGTCATCTCGACGCTCAGGGAATCGTCCTCGAGCCATTTCGGAAGGAAAATTAAACGAGCATAGATTTTCGCCATCAAGGCTTAGAATCGGGTATGATTTTTGAAGGAATCTTGTGTACGTATAGACGTATTTCTCTGTTTAACTCCAAATGAATAAGAAAATGAGGGGTGACCAAAATGTACGATTCGAAGAGAACCCGGCTGCAAAGTGCACTTAACCGCTTCTAACCTCGGCACTAAAACTGCACAATATGAATAATTTTATTTCCGATTCCTTGTGCCAGTTTTTCAGATTTATCTTGACTCTACACGGAATAACTGGGAGAGATAAGTGGACTAGAAGAATGCCAACGAGTTAAGCGAAAAATAATTTTTGATAGGTATAAATGTATCGTTCACTCATAAAATGACTATTTGGTCACTTACCTGTGTCTTAAGTCGTTTGAGCTCGGCATTTTTTTGTACAGACTCAATGTCTCCAACAGCCAACCCAATCTACAATTTCAATAAAATTAACAATACGAAAACACATGAGAGGCACTTGACAAAAATACAGTAGCCTTGAATTGAAGACAAACTAGACGATAATGTTGCGATCGTCGAAATAACTGACGTTTTTCTCAGCTGATTCGGTGTCAGAATATATACACAACTGAATAGTTTTTCCCTGTAGATATTTGCTGAAATGTTTACAGACACTTCTGTAGGCGGTATCAAAGTAGTATTATTTGGAAACCAGCTTTGAGAAGAAACGTCAACAAGTGAATAACAACCACAACAATAAACCAATTGCAAAACGTTTTGGTTTAGGTTTAGCAAGAGATCAACTGTACTCACTAAGAGGTTCATAAGCGAGATGGACATAACAAGGATGAATGTGAAACAAATGAAGCGAGCCAGATCTGGCATACGAAGATTCAAATTCTCCACAAAGTAATGGTTGAACTCGACTCCTCCAGCCATCATGTCGAACACTTTCAGAACTGACATGTACGGGGACGTGTATGACAACTGGAAAACAGCAAATGGAAAATGATTCGGTCGTGAAAGATTTTCTAACCGGCAGTGGTACCGTTTATGCTTTATTTTGCTATAAATTCATATATCAACTTACAAGTGCAAAAAAGAAGACTAAAGGTGGCAAAAACCCTGAGAGAGGCTATTGGGCTTTTACGAAATGGGCTCCACCTCAAGTCACAATTGAAAGGTAGAACAGTGACGAATCAATGACAGAGTAGAAATTTGGTAGAACTTTAACGTTATCTTGATTTACTTATTTATGTATAAAGCTTAATTGGTCTAAAGCTGAAAAATATACCAGAGACTAATACTATTATAGAGAGGAGGGAACGATCTGCAGTTGATGCTTGTTTTTGCGTTTGGTTATTGATATTTTAAGGCTATTTAATTTATATTATTGTTCGTCGGATGATCTTTACGAAATGAGGTCGAGGCCAATAGATTGACAGTTTGGTGGAAGTCAACCAAGATGGCAACTGAGAGGCTGTCATATTGAATATTTGTAAAATGGGAATTGGAAGAGTAATGCTACATTGTGCAGCACTCTATTATTGGGAAGTCTGTTATGATTACTTATTTGTCTCCTATTTTGTTTTTGAACCACTGAATCAGAGGAACGAAAAAGAACAAGAGCTGCAATGGTACATGAAATTTTATAATATGCTTGTTTTGAGACATGTTACTTCAACATGGACTCACATGTAGAATACACAGCACAAATGTGTGTAGACAAAGGTTTTGTGGAACTATTAAACTACAGGCTGCTAGTTTATGTATCGTTTACTTAATATTACAAGAACAAAATTTATTATTTAATGTCAGTAATAAAATTATACATTTCTTGATTTTATAAGTACTTTGAATGTGTTTTTTGTGAGTTTGATTATACTGAATGTTTTTGATTTGATGAAATTGTGTTTCTTTCCAAGAACTCTCAACATTACATGCTCGTCATGTCCTTTTAAGTCATTTAGCCGAAAACAGACTGTGAAGACAGCCTCTCAAAAAAAGTATCTGATGAATAAGCGAATGATATGGCTACCGCTAAAAAACAGAGCTCGGAAATAAGAACAAAGACTAACTCTAAGAAAAAATTGTTAGTTAACTGATTATGATTGTTATTACCTCGTCTCCTAAGAGCAGGTAAAATATCAGTCCATAAGCCACAATCAGCACCGAAAACATTACGGTCACCTGAACATCAAATTGAAAAAAAAACCAGCAGCTATAAACTGATGTATATATAATGATTTGAGGACATTAGCTCTTAATTACTGGGCAACTAAATGATAATAACATCTTCTCAAGAAGGTTTATGTCGCTCTATATATCAAAATTTGATGAATAAGGAGCCTTGGTAGCAATGAGTATTTTGATGCTGTTCATATCATGAAACAATTAAAGCCTCACGGTGACAAAGAGAAATTACAAGAATGAGATAATGATATTAAGGACGTGTTAGCAGTGTTTGTGATACAAACCTTGTAAACAGAGTTAAGGACCTCAAAGAGCATTGTGACGTAGATACCCGAGCAGAAAAGTCTGAAAGGATTTAACAATAGTGCATTATTAGTCACATGTTTTCAAGTAAGCCGGAAAACATTAAATCTAAATAACCACTGTATTGGGCTATTCACTTACAGTTGGAGTTGCACAAGCATGGCGAAGAATGCTATTAACAGTGCAATGATCCCAACAGCCCACTGGTATTCTCCCTCAACTACAGATCCATTTGGAGGGGCAACGGCGATAATTGTTGTCACATAAGTGGAAACTTCCAAGAAATTGGTCAGGTCAAAATACAGCCAGCGCTAAAAGAAAACAATAGATGGCTATGGAAAATTATCTTTAACGAATTCAATCATTTTTCAAAAGTTTCCCATTTTTTCAATGGAAGAAGCATAAAAAATCGCACATACAAACCTCGTTAAAGAGTTGATAAGCTTCCAAAAGCAAGTTAGAAGTACAGAAAACGAGCAGAAAAATCTCTTCTGAATACATCCAGCTATCACTGCAGTGTTTCTATGAAATAAATATATTCCACGTTGTAAAGGAATTCTGTTCATGGCTTTTAAATGGCCATTTACTTACCTTCTGTTCATGGCATTTTAAATCTTGTGAATACTCCCGGCTACCATTGCAGTGTATCTAGGAAAGAATTATATTCCACGTTTTAAAATGAATTCTGTTCATGGCTTTTGAATTTAAATATCTCCATTTCTCATATTCAGCTCGTCGATGGCATCGCTTGGAATTTCGCATGTAGAGTTTTTCTAATAATTACTGAATGGAAAAAAACACATTTTCAAGTCATCAGATCTCTAGAACCAAAATTCAAATGAAGTTGACAGTGTCCCATGTTATTTGCAAATACGTTATTCCAACGGATGCAACAGCTACAACATTTTACTAATACCAAACAGACAGACAAACATCGAAAAATAAAGGACGCAACTCCGTCGCACTGATGGTATTTTTTATTCCAGTAAAATCCAGACAAGATTTATTTATTTAACTTCGCCGACAGGCAGGGACACCGCGACAGCTTGCGCCAATTACCGCAGGCCCAGTAAGCCCACCCATCCCACCCCGGGGAGGACATCCACCACACAGTAATCTCGTGCGTGGAAAATTAACGTCTCCTACCCCTAACCCTGCAGGAGACGGGACCTCCATTTATTCGTCCCTATCCGAGAAGACTAGAATATCTAACCATTTCTTTGATGTTATAGAAAGGTAGCATATTCTTCTCAATTATTTTAAGACTTTGAGTGTTGGTCCGGCCGGGGCTCAAACCCTCGACCTCCCGCACAACAGTCCAGCGCTCTATCCATTGAGCTAACCGGGAGGCGGTTAGCTCAATGCATAGATAGCAACCCTCTGAACATCTTCCAATCTGACTGAGGCCTTCACGAAAGTTAAAACAAGATCCGGATACAATATTGATTTCGTTCAGTGAAAGTTGAACTAACCTTGCCATGAGAAACAGGGCTGTTGCAGTAAAGGTACTGGGAAAATACGGACACGAATGTTAAATATAAGATTGCTCCCGTGAAAAACACAGTCAGACCAATCTGCCGCCTGTTTGAAAACAAGAACAAAAAAAAGAGAGATGCTACAAAAACTTCGTGGATTTTTGCCAAAACGTTCTTAACGAGACAAATCTTCTAATCTCACCTTATAAAAATGTCTGCCTGGCAGTTTTATCCCTTTTTTTTTTTTTTCAATTGTTTCAATTGTCTTTTTTTAATTCTCATTAAATGTTATATCATGTTCCTTTCCCCAAAGGGATATTTACTAAAAAAAGCGAATAGATAATCGCTGTGAGGTATTGTCATCCTACATACCATTTCATTCGCACCAGCTCCCTGGTGAGAGGATGAAACAAAAGTTCTTCACGGCCAGAATCTAACATAGTCTACAAGAGAGCAGTATGACAACATTTAGCACCATGAGCTATAATAATAATAATAAAGACTTTATTTTACGAGGGTAACACATAATAGCATAGCTAATAAACTTGTGGCCCTCACTCAGAAATAATTACAATATAAAAACTAGCCTCTCCTATTCATCTTGATGTACGCTGGACAAGTAGGCAATTTTTATGTTGTTGTTCTTTCATAGATTCGGCCGTGAGGATGGACGCTCACTGTTGCATTACGACAGGACCGAAGCAAGAACTCAAGCTCTCATTTATTTCAAATCTTTCGTGAATTATACCTTTAGTCCATTATATCGTTCTTGGTTGAAGTCAAATTCCTCATCCGAGTTTGGAAAAATGAAACTGAAGTCCAATGTGATCTGAAAAGGAGGTTAAAGAGGAAAATCTGGATGCATTCTTCAAGACGTTTAGATGTTTGAGTTGGTCTTTTACTTTTGCACTAACCGTATAATTTGGATCTGTGTCCAGAAGTGGCGAATGCTCGATACATTTGTCCAGTACAAGCTGTGAAGAAAAATAAATATTTTAGTTTGGATGAGTGTGTATAATAATAATAATTTATAAACTTATATAGCGCATGCTACATGACGTTATGATCCTGTACACTTGAGTGATGGTCAAAGTCGCTGCATTAGTTGCCTGCAGTCATGGTGGAGTGTAATATACTTTGAGTATTTAAAAAATTTAATTATTAGACAGTTGATATTACAATGGAGTCTGGTCAGCTAGCTGAACTACGACGTTTGCAACGAACCGCGAACGGTAAAATTGGAACTCTTGCCGTCTTATTCCAGCTATTTTTCTGCAGTCTTGAGTATGCATTTAAAAAAAAAGACTAAAATCAGAGTTAATTTTTTTGCTAATTTTGAACTCTCTTTTTGACCCTTTGATCCCTGAGAGTGACTAGCATCGAATTTCTCCTTACAATATCATCCCCCCCCCCGGATCACTCACTGAGGTCAGGAGAAAAAAGGAAATGATCACCAAATGAAGAAGCTCTTGATTGTTAAACAAATTCTCCTTGTCAGCACCTTAGGTAATGCATAGAGAACAGTATAGAGAATATTCATAGTAATGTTAGGCTGTAAAGGGTAAATGATACATAAACATACTTTGGCGACGTCTGGAAACCGTTCAATGAGTCGCCGCATGGGAGACACACCCTCACACTTTGTGTTGCTAAAGACTTCTCGCCAACTGTGGAAAAAATTGTTTATTTGGTATAAAATCAATGGACAGAAAAGAATTCAGCGATTCAAGTCTCGTGTAACTTCTCTGGTCGAAAGTATTTCAACTATAATGCATGCGTACTTTTCGTGTTTAATAATTTCCATACAGACTTCCTTGTTTCCAGCCTTGATGGCGGCATCCAGGCAGTTGTACCCTGTCGTTGATACTATTGTTATGTCTGCTCCCAATCGAACGAGCTTTCGAAAATTGTTGTTGTGTTTGAAAAATGCTGCAAATATCAACGGAGGTTTCTGCAAGTCGGAAAAAGTACAAATTAAAGTTTCAGACAATTTGTTAACAATCTGAAAAAGTTAATCATTTCAGAGGATCGACCTTTTATTAAGCATCATATGTACCGATTAAAAGAGCCTTATGCAGAACATTTCTTCCGCTCTGATGGACACCGTCATACAATTCAAATTTTCAGTACTTGACGTGAATTGAATAGTTCCACCCATGGGTTAGAGTTGACCCACGACGTCCTAAGTGGTACCCAGTGCTGTTTAAATGTGAGCACTTCGCCAAACAATCTTACAATTGAGCTCTCTATGCTATGTTTTTGCTGAACCTTTTAATTTTCTTAATGGCGCCAATTAGCACCAGTACACTGGACGCTTTCCGCTTACTCGACTCTTCTCCAGAGCATTGATATCTGCGCCAAAATACAGTAACGTATCCATCGTCGCAGAGCAGCCGCATATTGTTGCATGAAATAACGGTGTATAGCGTTCATCATCCCTGCAGCAAACATGAGAGAAATGATCAGCACACTGCTTTAACTATGATATTCGTATGTTAAGATTAATAATAACTACTAATCATTTCTGTGTTCAGTCACCTGTAGTCAACTTCAGCGCCATTTTGTAACAAATTAGTCGCTACTTTATCTCTTCCCTTAGCTGCGGCAAAATGGAGAGGCGTGCAGGAGCCGTAGTCAATATCATTTACAGACTCTGGGCATGCACCTAGAAGTGATTGCACGGCGCCAAAGGCTCCAGCCCTGAGAACAAACAAAAATAAAGTGGATGGATGAATTCCATGTTGAAGCGTAGATTTACGTTAACGGTCTTCAATTGCGTATAAAATCGATAAGTATATCAATGCATACTCTGCAGCAAAGTGGAGAGCTATTCTTTCTTCGTTGTCTTTTGCCCTGACATCAGCTCCCACAAGGATCAAACGGTTGACTATCTATAGAAATTGAAGGAATATATATAACCCAATTAGTCATCTCACTAGTGTCGTGACACTCGTTTGATAGTGAATCGGAGATGAGGATCATTCTAGTAAGCTTAGTACGTCCCTATGGGAATAAGGATTGTCGCTGAAATGGGATTCTACCTCAGAAAGTAAAATTAGCCGGTGTATATCAAACAACACTGCTTCACGCTAAAAATGGTATTTGTACCTCCACTTCCTTCCTGACTCGTCGAGAATCCTCTTACATCTCTTTGTTTTGTGTTTTAAATCATACTTACATCTACATTACAGGTGGCGGCAGCATAGTGTATTGCTGTCTTCCCATACTGGTCTTTGCTCTCCAAAAGGCTATGACCTCCATTCTGGAAAAAAAGCATACAATTATCTTGAACGGCTTTAATTAGGACGGCTGCGTGATTGTCTCTCATGAGGTCACTGGTATAACCCTAACAAAAAATATGGATTCAGAAGGAAATAGCTACGGAACTGAAGTGTTTATGATCGATTCAGTAATCTTCACTCGATCATTACAACATCTTTCTGCGTTGGCTGGTTTTTGCTTTTTAAAACAAACCCATATTAACAACGAAATAAATTTTGATTGCGGCTATAGCCTGTACCTCTAAGATTAAGTCCACAGTTTCGATATCAGCACAGGCCACCGCTACATGAAGGACGGTTCTCCAGTTCAGATCTTTATATTTCAGCGGATAACCGCGTTCCAAGAAATATCTGACGGCATTGTGTTGGCTTCGTTTCACAGCACACATTAAGGGAGAAGGGCTGCAATTCTCCCGGACTGGATAAAGCTGAGCTCCCTATCAACAGCAAAAACGCGTATGAGTAAAGGCAAGCTTTTGACCGTTCCATGTGGAAGTTTAGCCAGCCTAAACAGAGTATGAGCGTTGCTGATTGATGTATATCGCTCGGGTTATTTGAATCAAATATCCGTCTTTGAATCAAAGAAGATATCACAGAACACTCAGCCGTTCTATCAGAATCTAAAATAACTATAAGAGATATGACCAAAGGACAAGAGAATGGCACGAGTGATCTAGTCGCGGGTGCTTTTTGTTTTGCATCTGATGACGGAAGCATTTGGAAGATCACGAAATTATAACCGAAGTGAGATAAAAACAGAGAAACTCTTGATTCCGTATAATTTTCGACAGTCTATCAAAGAAATGCTCCAAAAAAAAACTCCAGGAGGATTATAAAAAAAGATATGGGCAAACTGATAATACGTAGTAATTATCAGGGAGCTACCAGCTAAGGAACTACGACGTCATTGATAATAGCGATAGGTTAATACTTGTTCAAGAAGAAACTCGATGATTGGGACGTGCCCTCCAAGTGAAGCCCTAAGGAGAAAAAGCAGGTAACAATGAAAATACGTGTCGACATACGGTAATGAAAATGGTACAAAGCTAGTCTAACAATGTGTTACGGCCATCAAGAGTACAACTTCACAGGAATGTCAGTATACAATATCAGCTAGCTTTTTTCAGGTCTGATTTTCGCTATTGTATAAATAGCGCTCTCTACTGCGAGGATCGTGCATCATACGTAAATGTCAGTATAGTTATTCTCTTTATTTTAACTAAAACACGGCCTGAATGAAGAATATCATAGCGGGGAATGGATTCGCTCAAACCCGTTCCCAGGCTCTCACTTTTTCCCGCCCCTTCAAGCGAAGAAGATAAAAACTGAAAACAAAGATGAACTTGACTCTCAAGGACCCAATTAGAAATCGGGTCAGTTTCGATCTTAAGCGTACCTCCTCCCATAAATATCAAAATGATCCATAAAACTAGCTCAGGGAAAGAGGTATATATCCAGTAATATTCATTACCTTAATAAAGGTGTTAAGCCGTCTCCATCTTCGCTTTCAATCTTTGCACCATGTTCAACCAACAGCTTTGTTATGTCCAGGTTTCCATGACTACAAGCTAAGTGGATCGGAGTGGAAAAATCCTCCTGAAACAAAGTGCATGAAACACTCTGAGTCCCAGCTGCAAAATTATTTCGGTAGCCATCCATACCGAAAAGACAAGAATTTATCTTTTCAAAATAATTAGTGGTTTATGTGCGCGGGTGATATGCTTTTTATTTGTGTCTTGCTCGTCTGTGTCTTACGTAAAATTTCTCCAAAAAAATCTCAAAGATGATCTCATTAAGTTCATCGAAGGTAAATTCTTAATTTATGGCATTGGTGTAAAATCTGGCCTGTCACGGACGTTGAATTAACAAACGCCACGGCTTCTTGGGTCGTTGTTGTTGACCTGGAAAAGGTTTTGCTAAAGATAAAATAAGTTTGAATCATTTATGAACACCTGTACCTGTGCTGTACTTATGTCTGCCCCAGACTCCAAACATAACTCCACGATCTGTAGAAAAAAGTCAATTGTGAATCAGATTCCATGGACAAAAAAGGTGGTAAATCACACGATAAATATATGGCCCTCTAAAAAAATTAATTGGCTATCATGCCACTGGAAATTTGTGTTCTGACGAGTGATGGCTCTGACAAATTTCTAGTATTAAGTTGGAATGGTATCTATCTTTACCGACCTCCACGTGTCCATGTTTTACCGCTAGATGTAGGCAGACATTTCCGTAATTATCAGGGCTGTTTAACAATGTTTTTGTTGACAGACCACCACTTTTGGCTGCGAAGATAAAATAAACACTTTAAGATTTTAATTTTCACAGCATATAAAGGCAGTACTCTGCTGAGTTTGTTTAAAATCCGTTTACAGTTCTACTTCACATAGTTTCCTTTCTCATTTAGCTGTGTAATGTTACCTTTTTTGAGCAATTCCCTGAAGGACTCCACGTGGCCTTCACGTGCCGCAAGGTGTAGCGGTATGTAACCGTCATTGTCCCTACGAACCATGTCTGCTCTATAGAACATCTAAAAGTGACAAAGTTCAGGGAACCTGGTTAGAAATTAACAAATGGTAAACACCACAGCGTACACTAATGAGTTATGGATGCACGCGGGAGGTTGCTAAGCACGAAAGAAGCGTAAGAGTCGCTCGAGGCGATAGCCGAGAGCGACTCTAGCTTCTTGAGTGCTTAGCAAACCTCCCAAGTGCATCCATAACTCAATAGTGTACGCTGTGGTGTTTACCATTTGTTTTATAACATAACATTGATACATTGTAGCGAAAGAGTTCCCTTTTATTCAACAAATCTTACGCGACTAGAAAAAAAAACAAGCGCGCGCGGAAAAATAGCCTTTGCATTTGCTCACGTCAGCAGCGTACACCCATGGGCAAATGGGGGACGCTAAATTGACCAATCAGAGCGCGCGCTTTAGTTTGGTTATGTTATAATCATATATTGTTCTTTCACGGGCGAATGAGAGACGACTTAGATGTGTTAGATACACAATACACTGAATAGTACTCGCAGAGCCACGCCAAATAAAATGAGTAATATCGAGGGAAACATTTACACAGCGACACTGCACATTTAATGAAGGCCTTGAGTAAAGCTATTATATGTGACGTAAGGGAAATGAGAGACTTGTGCTTGATGACTACCTTTCACTTAGTACATGAATCACATTTTCTTTGGTCTATACCCCACTCGCTATCTCAGCCGAGAAAAAAAAACTGCTACGACGGGCTGGAACGCAGTAGGTACTCCCTCTCATAGTTTAAAACGTCCGTGTTTAAGCCTAAACCTGTATAATTTGTTTTCTAAAGAAACGTGCTCTTTGATTGTAACAAATTTCAGCTCTTACCAGTTTCCTTATGACTTCTATCTGCCCGGCTTGTGCTGCAGTGTGCAGTGGAGTAGCTTTGTCGTTATCTTCCTGGTCCACATGAGCTCCTCCTTCATTTAACAGAATCTGAGTAATCCAAGTAAAATGATAACCAACTTACAATAACTGCACACGAAGTTTTTTAGGGGTTTTCTTCCTCGCACAAGTCCTTGTTTAACACTGGTGGTGGAAAAGATGGTTACTTTTTCGCCCTCTAGCTTGACATTGGATTTTGGCTCACTTGTTCTGATTCTGTAATTTTTACATCATCTCCTTCTTTGATAACTAGTTTCACTACTAATTATTACTTTTAATCTTCTTAACAGTCTAAAACTGCTTACCTCAAGAACTCGTGTATGTCCTTTTCGTGAAGCATAATGTAAAGGCGACTGACCGTTGCAGGTTTGCCTTGTTATTTGGGCGCCATTTTGAATGAGAGCTCGGCAAGCGTCGAAGGAGTCAAACTTGCTGGCGCATATCAGCGGTGTCATGTACATACAACTCTTGGTGGCGGGGATATCAATATCTGTATGAAGGACTCACGTGGTTAGTTTCAAATCTCCCTTTCACTGATTAAATACCTTAGCTGGGCGTAGAATACACATATACAAAAACAGTTCAATATCACCAGACAATGTACTTGTTTAAATGGATGAGGGTACAAATGATATTTTATCATGTGACTGTTGCAGTGCTACTTCTTTGCGAGAAAGATTTTACTCTTTCCGATTACCAACTGAAATGTTACGATTTTGACTGAGTCTTTATGACATGCAAAGGTGATGGAATAGTTTCTCATTTACAAAAACTGACTTTTTTTCCGAAACCGACTCTATCGACGCTCGCTCCTCGTCTCTCTCCAACATTGTTTGGGACCTGGACACGGTGAGCTCGCTTCCATTTAGAAGTCAATTTTGCCATACTACATTTATTGCAAACCTTAATACATATCTCTTACCTGCTCCAGCTTTAAGAAGCAATTTAATGATCTTAACGAAATTTCCTCTAGCCGCATGATGGAGAGGTGCCATTCCATCTTTGTCGTATTCATTACAAACCGAAGGATTTGCTGTGATCAGCCTCTCAACTGCATCTGCCAGACCATCTTTACATGCCTAGAATTATCGTAATAAAATCAAGTGACGATTTTTTTTCCTATTTCATGTTTATCAAAAAAAGAGGATATTTTCCTGGCTAAACATCGTGGTCACGAAAGTTAAGATTTTTAACAGAACCCTCATCACAACTGCCAAATCAGATGCGATTTCTCGTTTCCCTCCCTCCTAAAATCTACCTTTAGCTCTGGTAATTGTAGAGATGCGTGCGCTCTGATTGGCCTAGAATAAACGTCATCTTCTAGCTTTTACTTATCTCCATGAGGCAACTCGGCTTTGATAAATACAGCACGAGTTATTTAATGGCCGTTACGAAAGAGGTAGATAACACAAACAATTGAATCGTTATTATTTTTTTTTTTTTTAGGCGCAACGAAATGGCATTTTTCCTCACAAAACAAAAGCCCAATAAACATTTTTCTCGAAGGAAAAACGTCAGCAAATTCAAAGATGCCAGGTGCACGAAACGAAATCGATTAGCTGAGCACCATAAAAAGCCGACATTGGGATAATTTGTACAATTCTGTTTACACCAATATGGCATTAAAAAAAGGTCTGCAAGAAAAGGAGAATAATATGATTTTTTTCTTATTTTTGGTAAAACCATATAACGACGTGCGTGCAAAATTTTTTTGTCCTTATTCAAATCAAACATTGAAAACAACGACCCAAATGAATTATTAATTATCAAGTACTAGGAAGATTTTGGTGCAATTTGAAATAAAAATAAGCATTGAATTTCGCATATAATTGTTTTGAAGGCAGCAAATTTCCCTCCCTCACCCTGCAGTTTCAATCAACGCTTTTAGTCTTTGAAAAATTTGCTTACTCTTATTTATTCCAAATTGCTCTCCATATCATTTGATAACGGATACGAATAACATTGACTTAGGAAATTAGGAACGCCATAAACATTCCAGTTTCTGGTTATAAATAGAATAAACAAACATAACAGCTTCACAAGATTAAAGGCGAGTTCGAGTGAATACATTTCAGCTCATAATTACTCACTCTTTTTATAATTAAAAAGATGAATAAAGGCTGGTAGTTTCGAAAGAAACTGTTTGGGGCTGCGTCGGTGGGAGTAACGAAATAATTTGGATATATCAGCAAAGTTGAAATGGTGAACTGGCCACCGTAACGATTACAAAAGCTGACGTTTCGAGCGTTAGCCCTTTGTCGGAGCGAATAGAGGAATTGTGGGTTGTGTGTGCTTTTAAAGGCAGAAAATGGAGCTACGTTATTGGTGGGAACATGGCAACGAGAAAAACATGAATAAATAAATGAATGATTAAAAAGGTTTGGTTCAACAAAAAACGATGTTTACAATTTTAGCTTCTGGTTTCATGCATATGATGTCAAGCCGCTATAAATAAAGTACTTTATCGCAGTTTATAAAAAATTTAATAAACTTACAAGCAAGAGAAATGACGCCGCAAAATTTTTTAATGAAATAGGGAAAGTGATCATATTGAGAAAGAAAACAAATGTCTCAGAAGTCAGACTTTTGATATTTCTGCGAATCCATACGTTCTTTTTATTTCCATCTAAACTGGAATTCAAAAATCTATTTCCTTTTAAATTGGTTGGCGCTAAAATTCCAGCTCTTTTATAATTTTTCAGTTAGTTTTGGTAGATTGCAGCTGAATTGAAGTAAGTCTTTTACTTTCTCTAAACGTGTGGTGAATTCAGAAGATCATGCATTCTTTGCAACGAAATGTAGTTTGCAACTTTCCAGTTCAGGTCAGCTGGGATCTTTTACTATATGATCGACAGGCTTGCCAATCAAGAAAGAATTTATAGATAAAATTTCTCGCAGAGAGAGATGAACTGTAACATTCTGGCGAGAGCAGTTCCCAGCTACATCCGATGAGAAAAATGACACATCTTTAATGAGAATGAAAGGACCTCAACAAAGTGCACCTTTTACGATTGCAGAGCTTATGTATGACGATGAGTTTCCACAGTCGCCGAAATGAATTGATCTAACTGATATAAAAACGGCCAGCCACTGAAAATGAAATTTACAACTATCAATTTGGGAAAAATACTAAATATCATTGTGTTTTTTAGCTCAATAATCGTCATTAATTAGGAAGTCTGAATCACGCTGTTTTTTGTTTTTCTATAAATAAGCTCAAGAGACCCACCAAGGGACCTTATTACGTAACTGAGCATGAATTGGATTAATTTCAACAGACCAGAGATTTTTATTGATCGGTAGATTCAGGGTCATTTTTTTCAAATTAAATTCAATAGAAAATATTATAATAAACTGGATGGAAAGTAACTCACAATGATATTACGTTCTTTAAGGATAAAAAGGCTGTTTCGCGACAATCGCGTTTGAATTGACTTCCTGGCCATTCTCTCAAGAAAAAAATCCCCAACAAATATAAAAATTACAATATTCTGACAACCTCGCTCCTGACGATTATGAAGAATGTTTCAGTTGAAATGAGGAGGTGATAATATTACCAATCAAACCTTTCTTTATGGGTAAGTAACATACATGAAACACTAATATCTTTCCTTTAAAATATGTACCCATGATATGCATTGTAAGATGTGTTGGACATTAGAAGACCGTAGGGATCTTTCTCACGCCATGATATAGCTGTCGCTCGAAGATAACACTCTTTTGAAAGCTGAACCATACTGAGAGAGAGAGAATCCCTTGAAGAGGTGAAAAGTGACTCCAGATGAGTGGTAAAGTTCGTGACTTTATAGCTGAATGCATATAATTTAACTAGTGTTCTTTCAATTTTTAAGTAGAAAAAGACAGTTACAGAAGTTACCAACTGTGGTCTTTGTGGGTTTCTGACTTCGAAGTCATAACAACCACCTATCGCACGCAAAGAGGACATGTCGATGAAAAAAAATTATCTGATCAGTTCCAATCCAGAATATTATGATTTTTTAATTTAATAAATGCAGTCGAGTGGGGCTGTCTGTTTATAGCGTTGTGATACGTCGTCATTCAAGCTTGCATCGCAATCGATGGAAAGAGTTTTCACACTCCTTATATTTATTTCATATCAGATGAACAAAACAAATTGAAGGCTCCTTGAAATTGTACTTGCTGAGATCTTTAAACAATTCGAAAAGGAGGAGTGTATGAGCAACATGGTTTTTTTCTCTCTTGTAGACATTTAACTTAAAAGTACTTTTTAGCAAACATGTACTTTCAAACCTTTGTTGAATTTGATTTCTTGAAGTATGACAACTATACATTTAGAGCTAAAGTCAATTCATTACCTGATGTAGGCTGATCCGCTTGCATGGGTTTCGCTCCACAGTTTCTTGAATGCTTTGTTGAAGAGAGTTTTCGGTCGTTGAATTATCAGATATTCTTCGCGAAGTTCTTCCACTGAGAAGAGATTTGCGCAGAGACATGTCTTGATCATTCGTGATCAGGCCTTCCAATTTAATGTACTCCGGATCTTCTATCATTTTACCGTTCGTAATGTCTGTCCGGGAGATAAATTATCGAGCCAAGCTTTGTTTTGCAAACGTCACGAGTTAGTTTGTGGCCTGTGGTTGGTCTATAAAGCGTGCAAATAAAGTAGAATTAAAATTACTGTGGAAATTGTCTGTGAGAGCAGGGGTGCTCTAATTTGTATTATAAAGACACTTCAATTTCCATAACAATTGAGACTGATCTCAGAAATGACTTACTTTTAATGGCAATACAGAAATCAGTTTGTAATAAAACTTCAGAATTTCAAAACTAATTACTTTTCTTGCAAAAGTGATGGTTTTAAAAGCATTGCTCTCGGCTCATAAAATTTGAAACAGAAGGTGTTATTAACATATGCCGCAGCACGAATTGTATTTCGTTGACGAAAACGGTGCGCAGATCAAACCGGCTGTCTATCGGCATCAGAATCGAGGAAAATGGACGGCGCACCTTAGATTTTGATATTATTTCCGTTTCCCATCCAAATAATTTGTTCGGTACTATATATACATGATGTTCGGCATAATTTTTATAAGTTGATTGATGAGAAAAATAACTTCATCCAACTGGACAATAAATACCATTATTCCTGTGAGCATACTGTCCTTAAAAACCGTTGAAGATTTCTATAGGCCTTTCATCGGTACATCAAACCTTTCATCGGTAAATTCAACCTTTGAGAGAATTTGTTCTTTTTTCATGAGCCGAACTTTTTTCAGCCTAAGTGGAATCTTAGAAGCTGCATCTCTTTTTTTCACTACACCTGTCACGCCGAGTTGCGCTGATATGCACGATATGGAATCTGACGTACTTTTTAAAGATAAATATCGACTTACCTTAATATAGTGCTTCAGGTGTTCTCTGTGTATAAGAAAACAAAAACATCGCTCTCACCAGCGAGTTGAGATTTAGTTAGAGGAAATCCCCTCATTTCTTTTCTAAAGTATGTTTCCATCAAGCATTGATAAAGTTAATGGTTATTTTAATCCCGGGTTTGACTTTTAAGATGAACACTATTTGTGACGAGCGCGCCAACCAATAATATTTAAGCCGTTTTCTACTCAATTAAAATGCAAAGTTTTTCTTTTGTGGACATGTCGCGAAAAATGCTAGGTCATTCATATCTCAGCTCCTAAAATAAACTGATCCTTTTTTTCATACAATACACTGACAGTTATGCCACCAAATGAAGGTTCTAGCCGGCATTGTGACTTATCTATTGTACCCCTTATCGTCGATAATTAATTGCTGTTTGTGTTAGATCAGTCAAAAACGGAATAATTTATGTAGGTTTTTCTCAGAAAAAAATCTGTGCCATTTCCAAAAGGATTGCAGAGTCACTTTGAATAAGACCCAACATTGCTTCTCTTGCCATCAAGTTTGCAGTGGCAACTCAAAGATAAGGATTGGACTGAAAACAGAGAAATGGATTCTACTCATCCTTACAAAGTCTGTTTTATTCACGATTCAAAACGTAAATTTCTATATATTTTTATCGTTTTTAATTTAAAGTTTCAAATATGCACCTTAGCAGGCTTCGAGGTAATTTCTTCAAACCCATCATACACAGTGGAGGTGGATACCAAATCATGATGATTTGCACAACCACGTCACCTCACCAATAATTATGAAGTTGTGACAAACTTTATAGAAAATCATCGAAGGAAAATGTAAACAGGAAAGGAATGTAAAAGCCCGAGGCTTGCCGTATCTTTTGAAGTTCATTTTGCTGTTACCATAAAACCAAATAGATAAAGATTTTGCGGAAAAACCATACGCAAATTGAACCACATTTTACATGTTTCCTTTACTCCCAACTAAATGTCATTAACGGTTCCTTCCCTTTATGGTTTTAATACTTTATTCCGGCAAACAGATCTTGAAAAAAGAAAACTAAATTTATCATCAAGAGGGTGTTATAGCACCAAATTTTCTTCACTTATTTTACAGGATCATGTCAGGCACTTAGAGAGGAGAATTACACGTCCTTACTCGCGTGAATCATAAAGGATATTAGAATCAGATTCATAGTTCTTGGTCTAGGATTCTGACCTACCAGTAAGGGTTAAGAGCACGCGCTGCTCAACAGTTTCACAATAATTATGACGTGTGCATTTTACGCCTGCATTCGTTTAGTTCAATGTAACAAGAATGAAATTCACCTGAAATCATTTTTAAAATGTCGTTTGCAACGAGAAATTCTTGCATATGCAGCAGTTGTTTTAAAAGACAGCAAGAAATTCATGTTAACGATCACCGCCATACTGTGAGCAGGAAGAGGTGTAAATCTTTTTCAGTCAGAAAAATTGAAAAACAGGTTTGGAGAATGTATCTGGAAAAGTTGAAACCTCAAATTACCCGTGAACGGCAAATAGCTAAATTACCAATGGAACACATTGAAGTAGTCCGCGAAATTGGTCCTTCCGAAATATTTGTGGAGACACCAACCAATGTTAACAGTCGTTCATTGATTCTAGATGTGAATTGCCAGAACTTCTGGGATTTCGTTAATGGGCAGTCGTGGGAGGGGAGGGTAAGAGTGTGTGAAGGAGAGCTGATGTATAGGTTGAGAGAAACACTGAAAATGCTTGTCAGACTGGGAAAAGTTACAGATTTCACTGTAACTAGGGTATTTACAGCTCAGAGTGTCACCAGTCAGGAACATAGTGTCCCTGAGGAAAAGGTACCTTGTATTTTACTATTAGTATTTGGTACTGTTATATTTACGTTAATTGTTTAGGATTACTGAAACAATGTCAGCTGTAAGGCATAAGGACCTAAATTTTATCATAAGTTATTTCCTTAAGTATGATTTTCGAAAAGACATTAGGCAAATCCAGGGTTTTCAGATAGGCGCGTCTTGATACTAGTGGGAAAAGAAGTTTATCGCCTCCTTTTGTTCCCTGTTACTTCAATTTGCCCACCGAAAACTGCATTGCACTGATGTTAATATCCCTGATTTTAATTTTCCAAAGTATTTGATATTTCATATCAAACACATTTTCATACAGTTACCACATGAAGCTTTCCCTGTGAGAGTGTCTTAAATCATCTTTTACCTGAAGCTGTTTTCGTAATAAGTTCCTTATTTCTTTTTGTAATATGCACATACCAAATTAGTCACCGGGGCTTGTGGTACGAGTGGAACAGACCTACTATGGAGGGGTGCCAAAGAAGACAAAGAAAAAGGTTAGCTTCAACTTGGTCCCCGATAGCGCGTTTATACCGCGTCTGAAATGTGTATCACCCATTCTTAAAAGTGCATGGTACAAGACTACGCCCGTCAACATTACAAGTCAGAATACTCCAAATATAACCCCAGATATCAATCTGATCAATGGTCACGACGCGGGAAATGAGCCCACGTTACGCCGAAAGGCAACCAGCGAAAACAAGCCTGAGAGCGTGTGTAATTTAAGCGCATCTGTCGCAAAAGAAGACTTTGCAACAATCTGCCTTCAAGCAACTCAGCATTTCATAGTTGTGAGAGAAATGGTCACTAGTAGCAGAACTATCAAATCATCAACGTCGTTCACGTTTAGAAGAAAGGAAAATTTATCTGGAACAAGCAAGATTGCTGAGACAATGAATGACTTCTACACTTCTAAAACCCTTGTTGAACATTTTGATAAAACACCGGAGTTCAAACCAAGTACACCTCTGCTCGGGTTGAAAATTTAGTCTTAACTGATTCAAAGAAACAGTTCTTATAATCACTAGTAAGAGTTGTGCCTGAGTTACTTAATGTCCCTTATTTTTGAACTTGAATAAACTTTGTCGATAGAACTAAAACTTTTATCGAAATAATCGCTTTCTCCAGTGAACTTTGTGATATTTCAATGCAATTGCAAAGGGTCTGGGTGCAATTTCTGTAGCTCAAACTTTTAAAAATAAGCAAATCTGCCCAGTTAGAATACTGACTCGTAAGTAATAATTTTCTTCCTTTCAGTTGTTTTAAGCTCCACATTTGTAATTAATTAATTATCAAAGCTTTTCCTTTCGTGTTCCCATGTTATGCTCGGCGATGATGCATGACATTTTGATAAGCTAGGAAAATAAGTCAGATCTACGGCAGCCTTTCGTCTTAAACGTGATTTATCGCACAAGAATAAGCAAACGGCGTCGAAATTATAGGGTTTTTTTTACATCTTTATAACGTCGACGTTTCTTTTTATACGTGACTATAATTTTACGGATGTGTACGACACTCAGCTGTTCGGAAAAAAGATATTCAAATGTCTTTCTTGCAACGTGGACTCAACGAATTAGCCTCAGCAAAGGCACCGCGATAATTATATTCAACGACATTTATTTTAATTAACAGACGTGAATTTGCAGTTCTACTTCTTAAATGTGTAATCTAGTTTATTATTTAGGAAAACAGTGTAATGAAAATTTCATTGGGCGAAAGTTTTTCTATTCACGACGATCTTTTGTTGTGAAGTTGTTGGGAACAGTGGTGACAGGTGTAAATGTTTTATCACTTGGTTGGGAAAGTTCTACGAGCTGCGGCGCTAATTAAAGCATTTTGTAGCAGCCAGTAAAACGTAAACTGCGGTCGCTCAAAGCACACTTAGTGGTCAGTACTTATCGCTGTTATGAAGACATGAAGACGAACCTCAGTTCTGTTGGGGTCCGCGCAAAACAGAACGAATAATCCTTTTATAGAAGCAGGGAACAAAATGTTGAAGCCTTCGACAGTGAATCAAGCAAAAACTGTTTCTCATAAAAGAAACGGTTCCTCGAAAAAGCCATCGAGAGGGAACAGCTTTGCAAAGGATGAGGACATGGAAAAGATTTTGAAGGAGGTTGAGAGTGGTAGTTTGTACAGCCCCTCGTCTAAAAATGCCAAGAAACGTCAGTGTGTTGTAGACGAGAATTCGCAGCGTCCAGACGAAGAACTCGAACAATTTTTTGTGGACGTAGAGAAGAGAAATGCAGAGCTACAAGAATTGCTTCAAATTGTTGAAACCACAAGACAAGAAAACGAAGCCGGGCAGATTTCAAGAGAAGCTTCCGCCGGCGTGAGGGGAAGTACAGACTCCTTGGTGGAAAAACTCATGCGTGAGTTAGACAATGTGGGCTGGGAGAAAAACAATGTTAACAGACCCGCACAAAGACCGAAAAGCTCCAGCCAAGCTCGTGATGGAACAAATTGCGCAAAACTTCAAGCCAGCACATCGGAAGAAGAGCTCGATGAGATGCTAGCAGAGCTCTTAGAATTTTGACCAGGGAACAAAACCACAAAAAGGATTACTGATTACAGTTTGCGAATTTAATTTGGTCAATAAGAAGTTTCAATTATCAAGTTTGAGTGTTTAGAAAGAACGTGAACCAGTCTCTATTGTAGGGCTGCATGACATGTAAAAAAAGGGAGATTGTTGGAGGTTTTTCTCTGTTTTTTTAGATAATAATGTTTCAATTGTGTCTTTATAAAGTTACTGTGGCTACCTACTGCAGTGTCTAACTGCTAAAATTAGGCTTATAAGCGGTTCCACATTTACTATCTTGACTGCCTGTGTCTTTGATTTAAATGATTTAAAACAATTCAAATCTTACCCTCCAATATTACAAGTCGAGGTTATTGCCTGTCAAGTTTTATTTTAAAACAAAGAAATATTTGATCCTGTTCCTGAGCTGTAGGACTTGAAAAAGCTTGAAAGTTAATGAAAAACTGACTTGCAGTGTATTCAAAGCTTTGTATCGAGGACTGTTCATATTGAAGATGAATACTTCGTTCTAAGACTCATTTTTTATACAAAAAATTTGTATAATGAAGCCCCCATTGGTTTAAAAGTGCCTTAAAATTTTTTTACTCCAATTTACACACTTAAATTCAATGTGGCTGTGGTAATCATCCTGTTTGTCAAAAATTTTCCTCCATTGACAAAACATTAGCCCTTGACCAAACTTCATGTAGAGTAAATTCTTTGCAAACCCATAAGTATTCCAACTAACTTGAAGGCCAATCTAATAACACTTCAATAAAAAAAAATTTAATTACCGGTAATCACACAGTAGGTATAGTTTATTGAACTTCTATGTAAGGTGCGGAAATGCACTGATTAATATTAATTATCAATCAGTTTTACACGGTGATTATATTTTACAGTAATTATATGTTTACCTACTTAAAACAAAGTAAACATCTGCCTTTCGTGTCCATCTCCTACTTTGCGGCCGGATAAATAATTACTGATCTAAGCTACCCTGGACCTGTGCATTGGTAAGAGGGCCTCAGTATACATTATCATACATTATCTTACATTAGTCATATACATTATTTCTGTACATTACAATTAAAAAAAGGAGCATCAACCCTTTATTATGGCTTATCATGTTATAAACTCTATACACCATCCTTTTTCAAATTCCAGTCAGAAATTATGATAGGAGCGTTGGGATAGAAATGCAGGAGTCTTTCAACGATACTGACTTGTGTAAGTTATTATACTTGAATTACTTTTTATTAATATACTACTGTGGTACCATTTCTACATCGCTTTGTTACATTTTGAAGTACCTACACTGCAAAGAGCCTCACTGCAATATTTTACAGGATCGCATTTACGAGGTGCTTCGACTCAAACCACTGTTTCTCACCAAGCCTTAAGCGACACGTAATGTTGTTTGGAATTCGATGTTAAAAAAAAAATTGAAGTTTCTACTGACTCTTCCCTAAGTAATATCTGTTGGAGTTAAAGGAGCTTTCGATCTCCGAAAACAGAGCATTTTCAAAATGGCTTCGAAAGAGAAAATAGAAACGCAGAGGTTTGAATGTTAATTTATTTCTGCCGTGGTCATCTTTGGACCAATTTATCGACGGAAATGTTTTGTTCCCTCATTGATCCCAATGGATTATTATCTATAAACTGAGAATTGACTTGAATCGCTGCAGGAGCAATAAGGGTAAATTTTTCTATTTGGTGGCTTTAGTGTCTTTCTTGAAAAACAGCTCCTTAATAAATGCACGAAGATCTTCCATCTGAATAAGATATATCACAACTTTTACAATGCTGTTCGAGAAAATCAGCCCAGAAAAAAACACCTTGTGATAAATTGTGTTCTAAAATCTGGAGGATCTTTTGCCATTGAAGTAGCATATATGGCGTAATAATAAACCCCTGAATTAGAAATGATAAATGCCAGTGTAACGGCTACAAGCAAATATGTTCCTCGAATTGTAGCAGCCTTGAGGCTCTCTCTTATGGCGTTACTTGACTGTATATGTACTTTACTTTTTTGCCTGCGCCACATAGTTATTGCGATGGAAATATTGACTGAGTAAATTAGATCAAAGATGGAATGAGGTATTGTGTTACTCCATGACTTGCGCAAATAATCTGGAGCGCTCTTTAACTAGTATCAGGTTTACACATGACTGTGTAATGTTTATCATCAAGATCAGAAGGGATTCCATCTACGGCTGCACCCGGGCCTAACACATCAATAACACCTATTAGTATATACTAAAACAGTGGATAGCGTTGAAGGCGCGCTCTGATTGGCTTGTCAAACTCCGAATATCCTTTGCTATTTACCTCCGAGCAACTCGAGAAAAAATGGCGTCCCGGTTTGCATCCGTGACAAGCGAAGAAATCACTCAAATTAACGACAGTGGTGTATATTATCTCACTGTTTTAGTATATACTAAAACAACTATCCATGCCGGCGGCCCATGTCGGCTTGCGAACACGACTAACACTTAAGGTACGAGGAACTTTACGAATCGCGAAATACCTCTCCATACTTATTACTAAAAGATTATTTATTGTAACAGTAGTAAACAGGATGTTGAAATAACGAACTATTTTGCACGCCCAGGTGTGCCGTTGGAATACATCTAACGTCATCTGAATACAAAACAAAGGAATGGATATCATAGGGCAAAGAATTTCGGAAAGAGCTAAACTTTTTATGTACAAGTTTAAATTTCTTACAAAGGAACATCTCTGCAGAAACCCGACAGTTTTCTTTCTCTTTGAAATAAAGTAATAGATAATGCTGTTACCAACGAATCCTACGACTCCAAAAGTTATCAAAAGTAATACCACAACAAGCTTGGTGTCGAAACCTGCTGGTAAAAGCACATAGATTCTTCTCCTTGTGTCTGAGCTATTGTGGAATGCCGACGAATTAGTCATGAGGTTGGACAGTTGGCGGGATCCTTCTGGCATGACTACAATCTGTTGGACTATCACATGAAATTGGATTGAATCATTTTCAAAGTCATAAGTATATCACTTTAAAATCAGCACGTGTATAGTTAGGTTTTGAAAACCCGTAATGTAGTAGTAGTAGTAATAATAGTAGGTGTTATAGCAGTTGGTAAAGACTGTAGTATAGCAGTTGGTAAAGAACACTTTTCAACTCGTTATGTAATATAATTTGTGTTGTAGTTTCGTTTGGGTATTTTATATTCATACAGACATTTTGATATATTTAGGTCGCTCTATACAAGCCCCCTGGGCCAGCCTGTTTAAGTGCTGCAAATAAATGAAATAGATCAATAAATGGGATACCTGTGGTGCGTTTACATGTTCTTCTAGATTAGGACTGAGCTTGGGCGTTCACGTACAGAAGTAACACGCCAACTTACCTGACTTACTTTCTTCTTCATATTTAAGGCAATGTTGTAGAATGTGAGACGTTGTCTTGGAGGAAATCGCAGGGTTTCATTTTACCATAGTTAAGCAAGCACTTCACCGAGTAAAAACCCTTCAAAATTTCTTCCTGTTAACCCTCTAAATGTCTCGCCTGAAACAGTGTTGGGGTTTTTACCTGCGGAAGAGCAGACATAATATTAATCAACTGAGTTATAAAATTACAATTAGTAAGGCCGAGATTCACCATGTTTTTTTAATATTCTTCTTTGCTTTCTTGCATTCTTGGATACTTTTCGATACGTACCGACAGATTTATACTTTGTGAATTTGTTCAGAAGCCATATTTAGAACGTTTATACGATATTCAAGTTAAGATTATACTCGATATCCTCAACGAGAAGAGAAAAAGGAAAGAGGCTCCATCAGAGGGAAAATCTGATGACTTTCTCCTCCCAGTCCACCGGAGAGATCGTCCGTATTCCGAAAAATGAAACGAGAACGTTCAGTCTTGTGAATCATTTTGCCATCCATTAACCTTGTATCTCCAGAAAACTAACGGCAGTAAATCAGAACTCATTTTAATTAAGACCTTTTTAATTCTCATTCGTCGTGCAAGGCCGACTCCTAAAAACGTTATCGCAATGCAGTCAGTATTTAACCGGATTTTGATTTTTAGATCCGGGGGCTAACTAAAATGAATTCCCCAAATTTAAACTGAAGGGAAAAAAAGAACTATGAAAGCGTTTAACGTTAAAATATATATATATTTTTTGCATGGGTTTATCTAATATCTTCAATCAAAAGAAATGTTAACGCAGACAGAAATTTTCTCACCCATGCCTGCTGCTACAGTCACCGGTTTTACGCACATGGGCTTGAAGTGATCTCCTCAAGTTCCTCGAGTCGCGTACAACTTGTTAAAAGACTGCTGATGTCTCATATGTTCCAATTGTATATATTCAGTTTGAGTAATTGTTACTCGGGTCATTCATTCCTTCGTTGCTAATTGATCGCAATCATTCGCTGGAAATATCCTTTACTGAACTAGACATATCTACCAATCAAATTTTAAAAAACAACTTCAGGGCCTTATCGAGATAAATTATGTTCATTTTAAATCAGGGTCCTCATCACCAGTATTTTGAAAATAGCCTGAAAAACATCCGCAACGTAATTGCTCTCTTACAGCTTCTCTTCGCACTTTGAGCCAGACACCAAAACAATGTGAAGGTGTTTGGCTCATGCGGTGCCACGTTTTTATCTAGCCTGTGCAAAATATCAAGGACTGCGTACACCAAGGCACTTGGACGATTGTCTAAAAAATATTCATATGAAAAAGTTCATAATTTTATACATGTAGGTCATCTTATGACCCTCTATTTTGCACTCGTGTAACAGGAGAAATGCAGCCCTTGCTAGCCAATTAGAACTGAGTATTTTTTTTTCACGTATATGGGAGTTATGACTAGAAAGAGTCATTCGTAATAAAAAGGTAGGTAATTAAAGACTTCTAAGGTCCCATGTACTTTTAAAAATTGGGGATACAAACATACCTAATTTGTGACTCGAGAAAATTATCATATAACGTAAAATTCTCATCCTGTCGAGGAGAAATTCGTTTGTTGGTCAAGACAAAAAATAGATATCATAGTTACACATATAGATGAGAAAAAAATAAAATGAGATAAAATGGAATATTAAGTGCACCTTCTGCCACAAAAGTTTTTACAGCTGAGTGTTACGAATGGTTCACTGCGGCATGAAAAATGAGTTTGAGTCACGTTTTAATTGCACATGTTACTTTTCATACTAACTATGATTGCCACATACATTATGCTAAAAACATTCCCGTTTTCCTTCGTAAAGTGTTTCCTCACGTTCTCTGAAGGACCTCTACGCACTGCTGTAACAGATGTCAAAGTTACCCAGAGCCATCTTCCATACCCGGGTGTCTCTTATGAGTTCCTGTTGTTTGTTTTTCCCGGAATAAGTACTTTGACAAAGCCGAAAGTTTTCCTTTAAATAATTTTACCACAAATGGCCTTTTTTTCGACTGCAAACTCAAAAACATATGTTGGATTTCTACGTATTGTAGTTTTTTGGCTTACCGCACTGGGTACCGCACGATCTTTGATTTATGCAATCAAGTTTTCGTTCAACTACAAACGCAGAAACGCTAAGATATTTGAAAAAAGAGTCGTTTCACAAATTGTGCTCAGTGATTCATTAAAAACAGACGAGGAAAATATTCAAACAACCGTGTTTATTTGAAAACAATCCTAATTCTCTTGCAATATGTGATAAATATGGTAATAATAATAATAATAATAATAATAATAGTAATAATAAATAGGATACTCCCATCACATTGAGTGGTTTTCAGGGGGGTCCTCTGACTAAAAATACATTTAGATTAGATAAAAAAATATTAATAGTTTGTATATGTAGATGTAAAGAAGCACATAAAAGCACTAAGATTAAAATACTAAAATTAAGAATATGCTAAGGTTTATAAGGTAATTTTAAAAAGTAAAAAATTAAGAATATGCTAAGGTTTAAAAGGTAATTTCAAAAAATAATTATTTAAGTGTCCGGCAGAGGCTTTTTCAACTCAGGCGGAAGTGCCAACCATTCGTTTGTTGCTTGATAAGATGTTATGTGTCGTCCCCATTCCGTTCTAATTCTGCCAAAGCGTGGAAGGTGTCCATTTCTGGTGTTGTAACCATGTGAATTTAGTGTTGATTTAAAGTTATCAAAGTGCTCAGGAATGTTTCCTTTTATCGTGTTCTGAACAAGTACACAACGATGCGCACGACGACGAAATTCCAAAGGCAACCACGTTAATTCTTTCATTGCCTCTTTGGAGGAGGCCTTCTTGCCATAGACCTTTATAGCAAACTTATTTTGGAAGGCCTGTAGCTGTTCCATTTCTGATTTTAACCCTGGTTGATTGCCCCATATTATATCCGCATAGTCTAAATGAGGTATCACCAAACCATTGTAGTACGTAAGGGGAGTCTTTTCGTCGAGTATATGGCAAATGCGATTAAAAACACAGATACGATGACCTAACTTCTTGATCAAATTTCAAAGTCT